TGTTGGTGTTATTATTGCTGATAATATTGTTGTTGCCGCTGTTGCTATTGTTATTCATGAAAAACGCATCATACTCGCGCTGCTTATGCTCGTACTCCTGTCGCAAGTTCTCACATTGCGAACGCAACTCATTTCGCGAAGGCAACTGTCCTCGGCTCGTTGAAAGTTGCTCCTGCTCTTGCTCATCCATTTCACGCTGTCTGATAGGCGTTGGCGTTAAACTGTTCCGCTGAAGCGCCTCATCACCCATTTGTACTGCAGCTGCGGCCTGCTTCTTGCGACGTTCAATTTCGGCTTTTAATGCAGTAATTCGATCACGTTCCTGCTGTAAGCAAGCTGCTTCAGCGCGCAGCTCCGATGTCACGTCGTTTAGGGCATGGACACGCTGTGAAAGATCCCGGGGCCGTTGTTCATGTCGCTCAGCGCTGTGGCGCTCCAATGCCTCACCGATGTCGGGAGTGCCCGCCTCAATCTGACTGACAGTATTTAGCATGCCCTTCAGTCTGTTCATTTGCGCTTTCAGCGCGTCAATGTCGGCAGTCTTCTGGTCAATCATTTTCTGAGCGTGTTGAGCACGTTGGGCAGCCATGCTCGCTTCCTGCCGCAAGATGGGTACATTGCGCTGATACTCGACGGGTACGACGCGCTCATTAGTGGGCTTGGGTAGCTGTTTTGTTGGTGTTAGCTCCTTTGGCATGTCTGCCTCCTGGCTAGCGGCACGCACCGCTTGTACCTTCTCTTTGGCCTTGCGATTAATGCTGGTTAGCTCATTTACCAAATCACGCATATCCTCTCGCTGGGAACGCAACGATTCCAGTTTCTGTTGCAGCGCCTGCTGTTCGGCCAAAATCTCAGGACCATCATCGCCCAGCACGCTGCTTAATTCATTTTGATTGTGTATAAAAGCCGTGAGATTCTTCATGCGTCCCACTAGCGATGCCATGTCATCCTGGACTTGTTGAACAGATTCATAGTTTGGCGCATCGCCATTACCGTTGTGCGGCAGGCGTCCGGCCTGTTGGCGCAGATGTTCCATTTCGTTGAGATGTGTCTTAGCCATGTTTTGTATTTGCAGCAACTTTTGCTGCTCATCCTGCAAATGCTGCATATTGCGATTTGAGGCATCCAAGCGCTGCTGCAGCTCATCAAAACTGGGTGTAGTATCCGGCGTTGGTGTCTCCATGGCACTGTGCAGCGATTGAATAGACTGGGCGCGGTTGTCGCTCATCTATTAGTTGTTAAAACAATTAATATTACATGTACTCTCGAAGGGATTTTACTTGTATACAAACCTCACTTAATGCAACATCCTCTAGGCTAGTCGAATTGACAATGCCTTCATCCTTTTCGCTGGTGCTGGGATTGTTTTCATGAACCATGTTGCCCAAATGCTGTAGAAATAATGAGCATAAGGACACACACACTTAGCAACAATTTTCTCACCTCTACTAAATTGCCTGCTGCCTGTTGTCCGTTGCTGTTGCTGCTCCAATTTTCCTCCAAGCCGAGCAATGTGCGCAATACTTCAATCTGTGAGCGTGTTGAGCCCTGCGGTGTTGAACCAAAGAGTCGATGAACAACAGTTTGCAAAGCTGTGGGCGCTTGATAATTGTTATTGACACTTGTGCTGCTGCTTATGGCTTGCTGTTCCTCGTTTCCGTTAGTCGTGTTGGGTGTGACGACACCTACTGTCGCATTGGGTGTCGTTGGCGGACGCAGACGCAGTACGCCGGCTGTTGTTGAGGGCTGTTGCTGATGCTGCACTCGTTGCACTGGACGCACAGGAAAGCAATAGCGTTGATGCTGCTCCTGTAGTTGATCTGCAAAGCACACAATATTGAATATAAAATTGAAATCAGTGCAATGACGCAGCCAAAGCTGGCCAGCTGCCCACGACGCGATCGATACGAAAGACCCTCTCCGTGGGCGTTTATTTTTGTGCGCTGTGTTATATTTAGAACATGAACTAGCGCACATTTTATGTGAGCAGTAAAACCTAGCCCCAGGTGCGTACAGATTTTAACTTATACTCAGTTCCCGTTCGCTGCTTAACTTACCTGTTGGATCGTAACTGTGTTCCGCGGCCAACTGACGCAGTGCCTCGCGTTGCTCCTGTTGTTGGGTGCTGTATTCTGTTTTTGTTGTCGTTGCACGCTCCAACAGATCCTTGAAGCAACAACAAATGAAGATTACCAATAAAACAAAGATTAAAAACGCGGCAATTTTGCTGCTTATGCTATATATATGACTATATGCGACACTATAATCTGTAGGTTGGGCGAGTGGTTGGGAAAATTCACGCTGTGTGCGTTGCGGAGGTCGTCTGTATAACTGAAACGGCGCCACAGACATTTCGAAAATGTTGGCCAAAAACAATGAGTGTGAAATGTATTTTTAAACGGAAGAGCGCAGCCGAATGGCTAAAAGAGAGCACTAGAGCGGATGGGCCAGCTAACAAGGGGTGTCATGGCAACGAAGTAAATATGCTAAGTACGCTCAATCAATATAAACAAGCTAGCCGGCAGAGCATGCTGCCGGTTTCTTTGCAACATCAAGAATATTCATCAATAATATTTAGTAGTTATTTCGTTTTTGATATGGGGTATGGGAACAAAAAATGTAGCTGCATGCTGTCCAGCCACTTAATTTGAGCAATATATATCAATCAAGCCTAGAATCTCGTATTTACATAAGTGAAAGCTTACGTATAGCGTTTTACAGGTGCCGCGCTGTATTCGTGCCGCGATTTCCTCTTCTCGCTCCCGCTGCTGATGCTCCTGTTGTTGCTTGATTAGGGACGAGTTGCGGGCACGGCTGGCGCTGGACCTGGTCGTGGACGGCGTTGTGTTTATGTTTGCCGGAGGTGTTACGGTGGTTGCTTGTTTGGGTACTGCTCCGGTACTGCGATTTGTATCACATTCGTTTTTCATTATAATCTTTACGGGCGGTGTCGGCGCCATCAGAAAATATATACATATACGACTTCCACAGTTATCAAGTATAAACTAACACTGACTTTGTAGGCGGCGCCTACTACCTATTACATTCAAATATTTCAAGTTAGTTTTAAATAGAAAGTCAGCACACTTATCAACTGCCGAACTTTTACCTATGCGTACTCTTAAGTTTTTTAAAATTATTAACCCAGCTTTTTAATTATCTTTAACGAGATTCCGATTTATTTTACAAGCAAACAGCTGCGTCCTGAAAGTGATGAGCTATTTAATATCGATAGTTGAAAGCTGCATTAACGATATGTACATCGATATTTGCAGTCGCGTGTAATCGATATTTTGATGGTAACAAAATATACAGCATAAAACCGTTATTTAAAAAACTTTTTAAACACAAACAAATTTTTTAAGACCTACTAAATTGCTTTAAATAACAAAAGAAAGCGATTTTAAGATGGATTGAGCAAGTGGGAGAGAGAGTAATATTCAGAGCGCAAATAACTTAAAAAATTTTGCGGCGGAATGGAAAGAAACCAAAATTTTGAAACGAGAGAGAGAGTAAGAGTAAGAGTGAGAGTGAGATAATGAAAGAGAGTAAATCTGTTAACCACTAAATGTTCATTTTTAATGGGTTTAAACGTTTACGCATATAGAACAACTAATTATAATTGGATCAATATTTAATACATATGTATGTATATATAAGTTATTCAGCAAGGAAATAATATTTGAATATATATAATGTGCTATTCTATTTGCCCTGTTTGCGCTGTATAATTTCTTCCTTTAAGGTTTTTATCCGTAGACGTTCCGTCCGCAAACTCTCCTCTTGGCCGCGCAAATCACTAGTAAAATCCGTTACCATATTAATCATTGCATTCAGCAGTTCCGCATTATCCGGCACGGATCCTGATGTGGGTTCTACAGATGTTGCCGTCTCAGAGGACAAGGCGCTGCCCCTAGTGCTGCTGCTGCTGCTGCTGCTGGTGCTGGATTGCACAGACTGCGCCGTCATGGTTTGCCTACTCTGCTGCACGGTCGAGGATGACGATGTTTTCGACTCCATGCTGGACATATGCTGCTCGATGAGTTTCGTAGAGTCGGTTATTTGCTGCACGCGTTTAAATTGCGCCTTCAAATTCGCAATTTCCGCTAGCTTCTGCTGAAGATAATTGGCGGTTTCCTCTTTGTCCTCATCGCTTGCATTGCCTTTGTCATCGGTCGTGACATTTGTTTGCACTGCCGCAGCTCCCTCAGAAGAAGCTGCACACTCAGTCCCAGAACTCGACTCTACTCTGGTTTCAATGCTCTCCGATACCTGCTCCCTGGTGGCCATTCTCAGTTGTTGGCGCTGCGCACTTAAACGTGTTAGTTCGGCCTGCAGTTGACGATGCTCCTCCTGCATTTCCTGTAGCTGTCGATTGGAAGCCGCTAGAATCTATAAAATATGAATGGGAAAAACCATTACTCATTTTCCATTTTCGCATTACTCAAATTTCACCTGACTTACCTCGCTCAACGCGGCATTATCTTGGGGTTTATTTAGCTCATTGACCATTTTGACGACCGTGCCTTGAAAAAGAAATCTCTCGATGATTATATCGCCCAAATTGTGTTTAACTAGACATTTCTGTGCTTTGTTTTTAAATACACACATTCGCAATTAGAGCTCCCATGTCTATAAATACTATTTTTTCGTTTCGAACCAACTTTGTGGTAATATTTCTGTCAATCATCTTGACGCGCATGAAATGAAATGAACGGCCCTCATTTGGAAAACAAAAACAATTATATACACTTACAGAACGGAATGTACAGGCGCTGCACTACAAATTCAAAACTATGCTCAAATATCTATATATATATATATATATAAATTTTCTTTGTATTTTAGAATAATGCGCTGGGAAACGCGCTGCGAGATGCCAATGTTTCTACTAAATGACTGCGTTGAAAATGAAAATATTTTATACGATAATTTATATACAAACATATCTACATATCTATAATGTGTAGGCTCCCAAATATATATACATATACGCACAGACAGTTCTGAGCGGGCGCCAGGCGACAAATGTTTCAAAAACAAAGTCTTTATGCAGAAACTACGATGTAAGTAGTAGTATGTATTTAATTTTTCCAATTGTGAAAAAAATTACCCAAAACTGAGTCATCGGATGACACCGTACTGCTATCGCACAAATTAAAATGTTTTTTAAGTATAAGAGCAATAGAGCCGGGTCTCTCATAGAGATGATGGTGATAAGAGGGAGCATCTGTTAGTTAAATTGATTTCGAAGAAACAAAGATATCTACCATATAAATTGGGTTGCTGCAGAATGACGACACCAGTCAAGTTCGAAAAGTGTCAAGAAATAGAAGTAGGTGCAACCCAACGTCACCAGACTCTCAATCTTATTTAAGTTATTGTTCGTTTCAAACAGTGACATCCTTCAAATTCCTGGCGCTTGTAGCATACGTTCTGTTATTCTTGCAACGTACATTCGTAATAGTAGCTGAGAGTAATAGCACAGAGATCGATCTAATTGAGGCGCCGGGCCCTGAAGAAATAATATTAGATGGCAGCAGTCTCTACAACGTAGACAACATTAGTCTCTGCAAGGATGTTGCTAATAGAGTCTTTCTGCCGTATGTAGGAGACTGCAGAAAGTATTACCTGTGCTGGGGTAAGTTCCAGCTTAACTTTAGTTAAGTCTTCAATAATAATACTAATCAAAAGATGGCGAGGCTGTGGAGAAGCAGTGCAACAAGGACTACGAGTTCAATGCCCGAAACCAGAGCTGCGGATATCCAAATAGTTCGACATGCATGCCCAAATGTGAAGCCTACAATCTGACCACCTTCTGCTACGATCGCACCTGCACCAGATACGTGCTCTGCTATTTCGGCATTCCAGTTCTGAGGGAGTGTCACGATGGTCTGCAGTACAATGCGGAAACGGATCGTTGCGATTTCCCTCAGTATGTGGACTGTGTGGACAATGAGTGCATGAGACTAAGTGAGACGACAGAGCTGTTGTACTTGCCCAGCAAGGCTTCGTGCTCTAAGTACTTCCTGTGCGCAAAGGGCGTTCCCATTAACTACAACTGTGCCGAGGGCTTGTATTTTAACACCAGATGCAATTGCTGTGATTATCCAGAGAATTCTGACTGCCAGGTGGGTGTCAAAGCAAGCGATTCTACTGATATACACATATATACATTTGCAATACTAGATTCCAGCATTGAAGCGCAATATTCAGCCGTATGCTCGTGTACCGCTCCGCACAGCTGATGTCATCTGTCCAGATCATGGAGTTCACTTCTACGCCCACAAGTCCCGCCGCGATGCCTACTACTACTGCATAGAGGGCCATGGTGTTACCTTGGACTGCACGCCGGGTCTGTGGTACGATGCAGTTGTTAAAGAATGTCGCGAGCCCAAATATATTGGCCACTGAGCAGAAGGAAAAAATAAAATGGCTTTACGGTATAAGATTCGCTTGATTATAAGAAAACTTGGATTAATAAATACAAATATTAATTACAAAGCCTTCGTTTAAAAAAAAAAACAAAATTGATCAGCGGTTGCCGGTTCAAATCTACCTTTCCTTGCCTTTGGCTCAATTCGTCAACTTGGCTAATTTTGATTTGTCATGTAAATGTTTAAAAAGTTTAAGCAAGAATTAAGTTTTAGTTCTCAATTGCCCGCTGTACAGAAAGTATTGCAAATGGTCAATTTGTTTTATGGTACAAAAGGCGGGCTACATTTGATATCTACCCAAGCTTGGCATCTAACAAATATGGTTGGATTAAAAGCTGGATCTTATGGTTATTTTTGGCTATGGGCTAGACTGCCAACATGTTATTGATATGTTAACTTTATTAATTAATGTTATATCTGGATTTTAACCAGCTCGTGTGCACCTAGTGATGATTGCATTCTTTGCATTTAATTTACCCCGGCTATTTTTGGCCTATTGTTTCGCCTATGCGTTAGCAGTTTGAAATGAATATTCGTTCTATTGTTTTTTGCCGCCTGTCTGGGCCAGAGAGCAGCGTTTCCTGAACAGCTAAAATTAGCCAGTGAGAGGCAGATCTAGGCATTTGCAATGAGCGTCTATAAACAAAATGCAAACAAATTGGATGAACTTTTAAAATTTATTTTGCTGACATCCCCTTTCAGCCTTTCACAAATTGCGGCTCGCGGCATTCCTCTAGCTTGGCATCGTAGACAAGACCAGGGGTGCAGTCCAGGGTGACACCACGACCATTCAGGCAGTAGTAATAGGCCTCCTTGCGTGTCTTGTGGGCAAAGAAGTGGGCACCCTCAGCCGGGCAACTGATGTCGGCCACGCGTGGTGGAACCCGTGCAAATGGCTGAATATTGCGCTGTAGAGACTCAACCTGCAACGAGAAAGGTCAACGGAAGACTAGGAAAATAAGTATTAAGGACATACCGTGCAATTAGCGCGGGAGGGGAAATCGCAACAGTTGCAAGCGGGATTAAATTGCAGGCCACTGGCACAGCTTTGATTAGCCGGAAGACCGTCCACGCATATGTAGTACTTGTCACACTGCGATTTGCTGGCAATGTAGACAATGCTGTCGGGATTGTTCTGGCGCACGCAAAGATTATCCACACAGTCCACATATTGGGGGAAGTCGCAGCGATCCGTCTCCGCATTGTATTGCAGGCCATCGGCGCACTCTCGCAGCACCGGCTCGCCGCTGAAGCAGAGCACGTACTTGGTGCAGGTGCGATCGTAGCAGAAGGAGCTTACACCCTGCGCGGGGCAGTTGGGCAGGCAGCGCACCTCGGAAACATCCACACATTGCTGATCGCGGGCATCGAAGTAGTAATTTTCGCTGCAGGAGCGAGGCACAGCCTTGCCAGCTGACCAAGGACTTGGGGTTACAACTTTGGCACTTATTCAATCTGCATGCACTTACCCACGCACAGGTAGTAGTTACTGCAGTTGCCGATAGCCGGCAGGAACAGGTTGTCCACCACATTGGAGCAGATGTTAACTTCGCCGAGTCCACCGTCAATCAGCAAAGCCAAGGACAGCACCGTCAGCACTTGGCTAGTTGTTATCACTGGCACATCAGAGCACAGAGTTAAGATCCTGGAGCTTAGACTTTCATATTAGCTGGCTGTACTCACTGTTGTTGGGTTTCTGTTATCCGCCTCGAAATTGCAACTGTGGGCACAAGGTGAAGGAGACCTCATTTTATAGGCAACATCTTCTCTTTATTTTTGGCAATCAGTTGCGCAGATACGATAATGTTCTTGCTCATCAGAAAGGAAACATGTTTGTAATTTGACGACAGACCCGGTGCAAGAATTCAAATTGGAAAGATAAACTTTCGTTTATCACAGCGACATATACAATAATATTAAAAGGAAACTCGAAACTTATCGCTCCCATACAGTCCTAATAACATGTGCCCGCCTTATCAAAATCTCTTATAATGAGCATGTGTAAAATAAATTGATGACATATCCTCTGAGCATTACACAACGAAACAAACAAAATTGTAAACTCTCAGAGAATCTCAAATTCGTAAATATCTCGAAAGTCGAGATAGAGTGCTCTCTGTACTGATTGTCTGAATGATATAATATGATTATGATGTGTATATTAAATTTTCCATCCGATTTGCTTTTGAGCGACGCTGTTAAGTTAAATATTCTCGGAAACTTTTATAGTTTTTATGCGATCCGTTCTCAATTTTAGAGCTAATCAGAAGTTTGCATGTCTCGGTTTTAAACACAATATCTGAGACAAAATTAGATAATTGATTATTCCGTATCAATTGCGAAATTAAAATGTAGTTTTCCTTTGGGAGACTCGATGCGCGTGCCGAAATGCGATAACATTGCTTTCCAGAAACTCATTAATTTAACTTAAAAATAGAAAGAAAAAAAAAAGATATCAAAAAAAGATAGCTACCATATAAATTCGATCTTGCCTGAGAGCTTCCCACAGTTGTTTTCTGTAACTGGTTCTGTCAAGGAGTGCGTACTGTGTATTGTCGCCCTGCATCAAAATGAGCTAATCCTTTCGTCTAATTATATATTAACAGTGAATTTGTTGCTGCTCTATGGATTGGCCCTGTGCGGCTCTGTCCAGTGGTCATGGGCCAGAGTTCATTCGCAGCTTCTTGTGAATTCTGATTTAATTGTTGCACCCGATCCGGAAGATAATGTCGTGAACACCGATGGAGATGTCCCTGCCTTAGAATCGGCCGGCATAAATCTGTGCGAGAATATGGCAGACTCATTGCTGCCCTATGTAGGCAACTGTTCCAAATATGTGATCTGCGAAGGTATGGAAGAACTACCTACCAAAAAAAAAGAGCTTTTTAATTTGCGTGTACATCCAAACTTTCTTAGGTGGTAATCTAACTTCTTACGGAAGCTGCTACGAGGAAGAACCTGTGAAACAACTTTGCGATGGTAATATCACAGATTGCGAGATCCTTTTTGATTACAAATTCCAGTCATGCGTGAGCGCCCGAGACAGTGATGTAAAGTGTCTGCCCGAATGTGAAGCCTACAATCTGACCAGCTTCTGCTACGATCGCACCTGCACCAAATACGTGCTCTGCTATTATGGAATACCAGTTCTCCGGGAGTGCTACGACGGTTTGCAGTACAATGCGGAAACGGATCGTTGTGATTTTCCCGAATATGTGGACTGTGTGGAGAACGACTGCCCTCAATATATGTCAATCTCAAATATTCGATATGTGGCCAGTAAGGCGCAGTGCTCTAAGTATTTTATCTGTTCCGACGGCATGCCATGGCCACAGGAGTGTGCCAGTGGCTTGTTCTTTAATCCCAAATGCAATTGCTGTGATTATGCCAGCAATGTTGAGTGCAAAGTGAGTTAATTGCACGGACATGCTATGAGTCTCACTCTGACTCTATAACTGACATTACAGGAAACGCCCCAGCAGCGCAATATTCAGCCCTATTCCCGGTCACCGCCTCGCCGCGCCGACATCGTCTGTCCTAGCCAAGGTATCCACTTCTATGCCCACAAGTCGCGCCGCGATGCCTACTACTATTGTGTCGAGGGTCATGGGGTTACCCTGGACTGCACGCCTGGCTTGTTGTACGATTCCAAGAAGTACGAATGCCGCCAGCCTAAATACATTGGGATCTGAATCCTAGCTTAGCAGACCATTTACGATTTTCAAACACTTGGTATTAAAGATATGGTATATATGAATGATTATTGCAGGTCATTATTATCAATGAGCATAAGGTAAGGTAATTTTATTATTTATACCCTGAACCCATTAAAAATGGGTATAAGGGTATATTGTATTTGTGCAAAATACAAATGTATGTAACAGGCAGAAGAACGCATCTCCGACTCCATAAAGTATATATATTCTTGATCAGCACCAATAGCCGAGTTAATCCAGCCATGTCCGTCTGTCCATCTGTCCGTCTGTCCGTCTGTCCATCTGTCCGTATGTATGACCGCAAAGATCTCAGATGTAGGTGCTCCTAGTGCCTGCGTAGATCGAGTTTGTTTCCGATAATCGATAGCTTACTCCGTTTCCAAGCAATCGATAAGCATCGATAACGATGTTCTGTTTTTTGGGGAATTTTGGTAAATATTAAGAGCTAGAGTCACCAAACTTGACATAGAGCTTCTAAAATAAAATATATATATGCATTTGATGTTGGAAGAAGAGGGTTCAGGGTATCCCCTAGTCGGGGGCTCCCGACTAGAACCTCTTACTTGTTTAACTTTAATTTTTTGTAACTTCGTTTATTAGTATTGCGCTCAAACAGTGGACCTCAGGAATATTTTTCGCAAAAGCTTTTTCTATCGCATTCTTAAACCATTCACAATGGAAGTTCTCTCTCTCTCTCTCTCTCTCTCTCTCGCTCTCAGCGCGCATGTGTTGTACAGCTGCCGCGTGTTTTGAGAGCCGATTGAGACCCCTTTTATGCACTGGCCACCCACTCATCACACTCACACATACAGTCCCAATCCCACACGCAGAAACACATACAAACATACACATACACACACACACACGCACGCCTCGTAACCAATACCGAAAGCAAAAACAAATGTTGGCAGTCTCTGAATTTGCTTTGCCAATACACGAACACACACACATATAACCACATCTACACGCACCAACACACACATTGAAAGCAGAAATAATCTTGAATCTGAACTCATGAAAAGTGAAAATGTTTCGCTAGCTGCATTCAGAAATTCAGTTTGCGTTGTCAGTTGGCTGCGGGTCCTTGCGCAGGAGGCAGCAGATTGGCAGACACATAAAATGAGTGCTTAAAAGCGCGCAGTGTTTAGAATATAATCATAATAAAACTCGATCTGTGCATTCTCTGTACAATATTTCAATCAATGTATCGCTGCATTTGACAATGTTTTGAGGTTTGGTGTGAAAGGGTCGCGTGTTTCATTCAAGGCTGGCAAAAGGATACGTTTTTTGCCATTTGTTTTATGTGCTGTGTGTATCGTGCCAGGTCAGTTGAGTGTTCAAGGACTTTTTCGTGCAACAACAATAACAATAACAACAAGCAATGTGCTTCAAATGTGCAAATATAGCAAAGAATTCAAAAGAAAATGCTTAGCTGTTAAGGAAAGACCAAAAAATAAAAAATAAACAAATAAACGCAGGTAAGAAGTGTTAACAAATGCCATCCAAATTGGCATGCACTTGAAAACCCAACTACACACCCACACATGCACACAGATACGGACACCTATGTTAACACACCAACGCATCCGAATTGCATTGCAATTACTCACATTGCTTATACGCAGTGTATGCCATCAGCAGCAGAGCAATTCGTGTCGTTTTGATAGACAGTCGGACAGACAGATAGTAAGACGGACAGGCACATGGTAGCGGGCACTTTAGCTTTAACTGAGACTGATTTTCGCATCTTGTTTTTTGCTTTTCAAAGTCAACAATAAATGCACTTCCCGCCAAGCTAAAAAGGAAAGTGCTACAACAGCAACAGCGGAGTCCACAAGGGTTAACAGAAAAACCAAACCATCACATAAAAAAAGGCAAAAAGGACCAGTGCACACAAAGTGAGAGTGAAAGGCTGGTCTGTGCTGCGGGGACTCGTTATCCTTATGTGCGGGTCGCGTAGCTTCCTGTTTTCAATTCTTGCTTTTGTTTCGCATATTTTACATAGCATCACATCTGTTCAAGCACCACCGACAAGGAACTCGTTTTGCTGAAAGCTGACGGGGATTGCAAATGTCTGGACAAAGACTTGTTTGTAAACTTTATAACAAATTCTTACCCGCATATTCAGAGTGCAATTTTATGCTTTTATAAGAAAAACTTCTCATAGATAAAATTGTAAATGGCATGATGAAAGATCGAAATGAACATTATTTCACTTGATTTTGTTGACAAAACCTTTGCCAATATTAAATTTGTATACAAAAGTCAGATTAAACATTTAAAAGTTCGCTATGCATTTATTTATTTATATTTCCTGACTTCTATTATTAAATTTAAGTAAATGAAGCAATAATTATCATTGAAAATTTAAAAAATAATTGTATCATGTTTCCGCCCGGGATCGAACCGGGGGCCTTCTGCGTGTTAGGCAGATGTGATAACCGCTACACCACGGAAACAGTTGGGAACTACTGGGCTTGAGTTAGCTTTTGTGCTTGCTGCATGCGCACGGAATGAGAAATATGTCAGCCGGCTCGACAAACAAGTTCGTGCAGACATCAGAAAGCAAGCCGAAAGGGAAAAAGACGGAAATCAAAAATATAAAACACAAAGAACAAAGACAAAAGATAATGTTTTATATATGTATATATGCAAACTTATGCAGGCAAGTTCAAACCTCAAGAGGATTGATAGTACACAATCAGAGTAACAATACCAGTTTTTGTAAAGCTTTTATTATCAAAAACTTGTTTAGTATTTTAAAGACTCTCCCTATTTGATTTAATGACTTCAAATAACATAACTTGTGGCAGTTTCGATACAAAAGATGTCATTTGAGTTATTTTTGGATTTTTATATAAGATATAAACGCAAATGATTAGGATTAGGCGGCACAATTTATTAACTGGCTGTTGCTTGATTACTTATTTCAAATTCATTGATAGATAAAATTGTATATATTGTATATTTTATTTTTTCTTAATAATTTAGCATTTTCAATTAACATATCTAAAAAAGAATCATATCTGTTTCCGCCCGGGATCGAACCGGGGGCCTTCTGCGTGTTAGGCAGATGTGATAACCGCTACACCACGGAAACAGTTGGAAATGTGCCGGCACAATAGTCAATTTGAAGCAGTCACATATCCAAAAACTAATTCAATAAAAGAAATCCAATTGTTTGTGGCTATTTTAAAGGCATTTTGGAATGCGACCAAATGATTTGCTAATTTTATTTTGTTTTTTTATTGTGGCTGAGCACAGCGAGGAGCTGCCAAAAAGCTGATAATAGAATAATGGGCCCGTTGAGTGAACAATTTATGTATATAGTACACACGAACATATGCACACATACGTGCTTCCCATTCATAGGGAAGGCAACATGCTACGTAACAAATGTATAATTGTGTTCAAATTATATTAGTTTATTCGAACACTCCAGAATTTGGAATCATGAAAACTGATGGAGTTCCATAGAGGTCACAACAATGCGCATAAATATTTGTTTGATAAAATCTAAAAGCTTCCACACACAATTTAGCAAAGGAAAACAAAGAATGAAAAGTAGTGCGAGATGAAACTTGAACCCCTTACTGGGGTCAATCCTTAAGTAGTTTGTCTAAACAACAATAGCTTTTATATCAATGCTAGAATTGCCTTTAAAATAGCTGAAATACAATCACTTGCTGTGTCCAAGCAACGTCAGTTTCCATTAATATTGCCTTTTTTTTGCATCGTCCCGAAAATTGCGAAGAACACTTGACCACTTAAGGTAAACGAAGCAGCTAAATTAAACTCTTTCGAAAGCCAAACTAAACTGTAACAAAATGGAAAAGCTAAGAAGGGGTTCAGGTCAGGGGAAACACAAATCAAGCGCACACAATTCATTGAACCTTGGAGCAGAGGCAAACATTCTGCAGGACAACTAAGGATGCAGGGGAGGATGCTCAACGCACTGAGCAATTGGCTGAAATGAACCTATCAAACGGTTGTCAAAATGTCTCTTTTAAATACGAGTATGTTTATTTTATTACTTTTGCTTGTGCTTGAGTATTTATTTATTTGCGAGTGCGTTCAGTTCTGAGTGCGTTGTGTAACTTTTCTCGAATAAGATGTCGTTGACAACGCAAAGCGTTGAACTTTGAACTTTGACAGGAGCCCTCGGACACGTTTCAAAGACTTGGACTACAAGCAGACAGAGGGTTCCAAAAATTAAACAAGCATAATTTTGAATGCCAGGCTTTGAAGCATGTTTTTCTCTGGCTCTAATATATTGCTAGAATTTATTTTTTCTGGACATTTCTCTTTTTATGTGATTCTTGGTTGTCAGTGTTGATTGGCCAACACCACAACGACCACGGACCAGACCAACCACGACCAGTGGGAACAGTTCAATGAACAGCCAAGCGACTTAAGCGGCAACGCAAATGTAAACATTATCCATATACATAGCGAACAGTGAGACAATTGGCTCCAGAAAAGCCATTTAAATATAGTACCTGAATTTTTCTATTCAAATAATAGATTAAAACAATTATACTTTGAAATTGAATTATTTTTAATGGATTTACGTACAACTGCATGAATAACGCAGATCTTGGAAGCTAAATCTAAACCTAAAAATTTAAATAGTTACAATAGTGAAAGAAATATTAACATTAGGTGGCCCGCTTACAGTAAGAAAACCTGCTTACAATTCTGTAAAATTAGCTTAATTGGCAAAAAAAAAGTTGAATAATTCTGTTTCCGCCCGGGATCGAACCGGGGGCCTTCTGCGTGTTAGGCAGATGTGATAACCGCTACACCACGGAAACAGTTGACACTATGTCGGCATAAAAGCTTATTTCACTCACAAGTCAAGCACCATATTATAGAAATATATTATAGAAATATATATTTAAATTATCTTTTACTTATCAGTTTTAATTGCGCATAAGATAATCGAAGTTCATCCAAGTCCACTGTGCAATCCCCCGAACGTGTCCTTTCTAACACCGCCGCACCTTGTGTGGCTGCAACATTGGTCTGCGGCCGTTGCCACCGGCTCCATCCTGCCAGCCGGCGTGTGAATGTCCGCTTTCATTTTTGGCGCGCTTAACTTTTGTGTTAAGTTTTTTGAGTTTGCCAGTTCTTGGTGGCTGTTTCGGCTGCTGCCAATGACACGGGAAGTGAAAGCACTTTCCCAAAATGTTGCCCCTGATGCTGTTGCTGTTGCTGCTATTAACATTTGGGGGGTTATTTGATCAGGCAGCAGCCTTTGTTTAGCGCTTACCTATGCAGTTCTTGCGATGGGGCAGCCGTTTGGGGCTGCTACTGCTGCTTCTGTCCCTTTTTGTGGGGTAGTTGAACTTGAAATCACGCACAGAGAGGAAACAGCAGACAGACTTGGAGTACAGCATAATAAAAAGCAATGCGCACGTTTCCTGTTTAGCTATGTATGTGGCTGTGTGTGTGCGTGTTGTGTGTGGCAGTGTGTGTCTCTCTCGGTGTGTGAGAGAGATTCCTTCTTCCGTCTAGGCAAGCACAGTTGGCGCTTGTGGCTCGACACAAAGCCAAATGACTCATGCACTTTGTCTGGCTCAAGTGGCGAATGTGTTCAAATAAGTTTGGCGTCTATCTGTTAACAGAAGTTCTTACTTTGCAGTCGTCAAGTGTTCGTCGGGACATGCATTTCTGGATTGACAAACGCTCGCAGCAATGCGGTTTTGGGCGCTCACGTGTCGCCGCCTCCTTGTCGCATGCGGGCGGCGGACTCAGCTACGGGCATCCGCCGCGGCGCAGCAAGTCCAGCAGCAACAGCAACAGCACCCACAACATGGCTGCTGGTAGCAGCGGCAGCAGTGGCAGCCACAATCAAGCGCTGGCCTCGGTGCATCGGACGCTAGCGCCTTATGGAGGCGACTGCCAGACGGGCGCAGGCACCAGTCGCCAGGCGTCGCATTACTCTAGCAGCAATAATAATGCACATGCCAGCAGCCAGCAGCATCAACAGCATCAACAGCATCACCAGCCGCTGTTGCATCACAGCAGCAACAACAACAACAGCAGCATTGCTGCCATGACAACAACAAATGCCAGCAACAACAACAATGCCAATGCCAATGCCAATGCCAATGTAACCGCCTCGTCGGCAGCGGTGCTAACAGGCAGCGGAACAATTGTTCCGCTGGTCGCACATAGCTCACATTATCATCAGCACAGCACGCGCTATCAGCCCAGGCCACAGCAACAGTTGCAGCAGCAGCTGCATCAGCAGCAGCAGCAACAACATTATAGCTACAGTTATCATCATCCGCAATTCGGCAATATGGCTGTGCCTGTGCGGCAATATGAACATCAGCAACAACAACAACAACAACAGCAGCAACAACAACAGCAGCAGCAACATCACCAACAACATCAACAACAACAACATCAGCAACAACTTCAGCAACATTCGGGCGTCTATGCGTAAGTTAATAAGCTTTCTTTTATGCAGCATTTGGGCTTTTATTTTAAAAGGGATCTCTGCAGGGACGACGCCTATAGCGCCTATCATCATCATCATCACCACAGCAGCAGCATCAACAGCTGCAACAGCACCAACAACAGTCGATATGCAACACCACGGCGGCACAACTCCAGCAGCAACATGCGACACGCAACAGCTATGGCATCAGCAGCTGCAACAGCCTCAGTGTCTGCCTCGGCCACGCCCATACCGCCCACACAAACACAAGCGACGGCACAAAGCAACCAGCTGCAGCAACAGCATCATGCGATGTTGCAACATGCTGATTCGCAGATGCTGCCCAGTCATCTGAAGTGCGGGATGTGCGCCTCGCTGGTGCTGGCCTCGGTTTTTGTGGCGGGCGCAAAGTTCTACTTTGATCACCAGGGCACCGGACTGGAGGTGCTCATTTTTTGTGCTTTCTCGGCAACTTTCTTTTTGGCTGCCTGCATGGTGTCCCTGTGCCGCATACCCAAGGGATTGCTACCTAATCGCAGCGATGGGCGCGCCGTTTGTCACAGCCGGGCCGTGAATGCTGGCGGCAATGCCAGCAGCAGCTGCATGCTGGAGCTAAACGATGTCAGATATTTGGATGGGCGACAGGTGGAGGTGAGTGCGGAAACGGCGGCCGCAGCTGCCGCTGGACCGCCGCCATATCATATAGCAATATTGTTGCCGGAACAGACGCCGACGGTGCTGGGAAAACAGGTGCCACTGGATGAGTCGCCGCCGCCGTCCTATGACAAGATACTCGTGTAGGTTTGGCTTGGGTTAGCGCTTTGGTTTTATTTAGGAATTGAGCATCAATTTCAGTTAGGAACCAACTATAAACCCAATCCGACATACAGAATACTTTTGCTCAATATTTTTCTAATGATATCAAAATTTATATAAACATATACACAGCAAAAATGACATTTGCAAATAGATATACATATATACTATACACATACATATACATATAACTATAAATATAAAGAAAAGTATATTTTTAAGCTCCAATTAATATTTTTACACTTTGAACTTTCTAATCCAAGACACAAGCCCAAAATCCAGTCTCTCTACTTACTATGTATCATTTTTGTTCTGTGATATGCTCAAAAGAAAATCATACGAAATAAACCAATAGAGGCAAAGCAAAGCGAAATAAGTAAACCAGTATATAGAAGAAAATAGTTGCCATTTAGTACTTTATGAAAATGTGAAACACAAAACTAAATACACATCAAGCAGCCAAACAGTATTATTAGTCAGTAGTCACTTAAGTAACAACTACTCATATGCAACGTAAATAAATAATATCAAGGTGGAATATAATACAAATAAATAAAGTACGAATTGATTGCAAAGCTTTGCCTTAAATGCTTAACGGCTGCTTCATGTATAATATCGATTAAAAATTGTACTAGACGATTTATTAAATATCGCATATGGTGACACTGACAACATATGCTTCAATATAACTATCGATAGTTATCATGGAGCTGCCAACTTAATGCGATAGATAATTTTCAACTATCTCTCTGGCTAGTTGCCTGGCATTTGTTTATTTAATTGTTTACCTTTAAATATAATCGAAAATGACTCGACATGCACGCAATTGCACCGCCGGAGCTGTTTACACGTACAACGAGAAAAAACGCGATGCAGCCGAATCTGGATATGGGACGAATGCCAAGCGGCTTGGCAAGGATTCAGTAAAATCATTCGATTGCTGCTCGTTGACATTGCAGCCGTGCAGGAATCCGGTGGTAACCAAAGATGGTTACCTCTTCGACAAGGAGGCCATTCTGCAGTACATTGTCACCAAAAAGAACGAATACAGCCGCAGACTAAAGGAATACGAGCGCCTGCGTCGCGTCGAGCAAAACGAATTGGCTCAGGAGGCAACTGATAGGCAACTGGAGCGCATGGAGCAATTTGTTAATGCCGGAAAGCCAACCACAACTCCTTCCCATAAGCTGATCGCTACTGTTGCAAAGACCACACAGCCGGATGCCAGGCCAAGCACATCAGCAGCAGCAGCAACGAGCTCAAGATCCAACAGCTCCATTTCTAACATGGCCAACGGCCATGAGAAGAAGCTGCCTAGTTTTTGGCTACCCTCAGAGTGTCCCAATGCAGGCGCTGCTCGGGCTCAGAAGCCCGACCCTACCATTTATTGCCCCGTCTCGCAGCAGCCGCTAAGGGTCAAGGATCTAATCGATGTTAAGTTCACGCTGCTCAAGGATGGGGACAACAAACGTTCGCTTATTGCCAAGGAGGCGCGCTACATGTGCCCCATCACACACGACGTACTGAGCAATGCGGTGGCATGTGCCGTGCTGCGTCCCACGTAAGTTAGGATTGAGGAATTATTAATGAAAATGCTTATAATTCACGTATATTTTCAGTGGCGATGTGGTCACCATGGAGTGCGTTGAGAAGCTCATTCGCAAGGACATGATACATCCCCTTACCGATCGCAAACTGAAGGATAAGGACATAATACCGCTGCAGCGTGTTAGTACAAAAATGGACAAATTAACGAAGTTTATATTTCTATACAATCGAATTTTATCCTAACAGGGCGGCACTGGCTATTCGACCACCAATGACAATCTGGAAGGCAAGGAAAAGAGGCCCATGCTGCAAGTTTAGATTGACTATGAATTTCAACAATGCTTAAACCAGCTCCAAAATCTAAAAAAAATACCATTAGTTGTGCTTTTTAAATGAACCTCTGCTCTAAAGAGGCCGCCCACTGAAAACTAGACCCATGACTTCCCCATCCTAGCTCATCAGGGCTTCACAATGGGCCTCCAGATAAACTCAAATCCTTTTTTGAGTGATCGTAGAGTTGAACATGCTCTAAATTAATACACTGCAATTGTTTGTTCCACATAATTTTGAAATCTAGCAGATGAATAATTGAAGAATAGTATTTTCTAAGTTGTATTGACCTTGTTTGCTACCTTGACACAATTACCCAACAAAATAATAGATAAGTCTTGACAAAATAATGATACATGTGCTCGTGATAAAAATGCTGATAAATGATTCATAATTACCTTGAAAATTGCCATAAAAAGCCGAAAAAATGTTCGAATTTGCAACAAACCAAAGTTAGCAACAGTTCCCACAATACAAGATGTGCCAGCTGAAAGAACTCATCAAGCCAATCTGTTTAGTGCTCCTGGCAGTAGGACTACCCTCCAGTCAGGCGGATGTCTTTCCACAGTGTGCCAATGTGGATGTGGATACCTTTGTCATGGCCATAGACGATTGCGCCAGCTACATCTATTGCAATGGCGAGAACTCCTTCAGGGACAGCTGCCCGAATCAAACGTATTTCGATGCAAAGGCGCAAGAATGCGCCTTCGACGATGCTGGTGTTTGCTTGGAAGCTAGCGGGACGACAACAGCAGCTGCGCTGCCTAGTGAAAATAATGATGAATTGCAGGCTGCCAGCACTGCGCCTGCGGCTCCAGAGGACACGCCAGCTCCAGCAGGCAGTAGGCCACATTGCGATGCCAGCGGCGATGGCTATCATCCGCATCCGGAGCGCTGCGAGTATTATTACAGCTGCATCGGCGGCTATTTGACCATAGTGCGTTGTCCCTACACCTACGGCTGGGATTATGCGCAGCAGCAGTGCAAGCCCTTGTCGGAGGCGCAATGTTTTAGCTTATAGGCAGCTCTTGCAAAACCCTAGATTAATAATAGTATTTTGGGCTAACCCAAATTCGCAAGGCGAGCGCTCGAGTTGACAATAATAAATAAGTATTTCTGGCATTTTAATGAATTGAAAAAGTGCAGCCCCTTTCGGGGGGGGATTTGGCCCAGCAGCGCCTCCAATGCGCCTCCATTTGTATGTGTCAGGCGTTGTCAACATAATTCAACAGCGGCAGGTACCAAAATTTATTTTTGTAAATTTTTGTCGGCTGCAGCTTCCACATTTTTATTGCAAATTAATAATGCACACGAATTGTGAGATTTTCTCATTTGAGTGTGTGCGCGTGTGTGTGTGTGTGTGTGTGCGTGTGTGTATGTCAATTGTGTCTCGAGTAGCAGATGGACTACAACTTGATGCTCATTATGTGCATTATGAATAAACAAATGTTTTGATTAACTAAATTTTGTTGCAGCCAATTAATTAAACAACAAATTTGCGAGTACAAAACTGCAACAATTTCTCTTCGCTGGCTGCTTGCTCATTAATTAGAACATGGAACCAACGAAGACGACGACGACGACGACGATGATGACGATGATGCTGCTGTTGATGAGATCGAGATCGTTAGGAGCTGAGCAAAGACATCCACATCCACAGCGAAGACAACGACGACGGCGACGAGCGAGAAATCAAATCAACAAAACAAATGGCAACAACAACAAGAAGAGAAAAAAAAAAAAACAACAGCAGCAACAGCATCGAAAGGCGCACAGAAAAAATTGTCAAGAGATGGACATTCGAAAAATAGAAAATCTCCAACTAAAGCCGAAAGAATTGAAACATTTTCGGATATTTTCATTTCAGATGCGAGCAGCAAACGGTTAACAAAGGTGCGCGCTTGGCTAAGCTGAGAAAAGAAAATGCACGCCATGAAAATTTAATCGAAATCTTTGCGCGAAAAACCATGAAAATTCACACTATGCAAAAATTGAAATAAATAAAATAATACAAAATTAAATATGCAGGATATGCAAAAATAAATATAAATTAAAACAAAATTGTGTTTGGTGCAGAAATTTTTATTAAAAAGTGCCAAAATAATAATAATAATAACAGGTGTACAAAATAATAATTTAACTAAAAGCTTAGATAAACAAAAGCGCCTAAAGAATGTGTCAGAAAAATGTGGAAAAAAAAGTGACACAATAAAAAAATAAAAATAAAAATTTGATTAAGCGCGTGGCTAGCAAAAAATATATAAAAATATATGTAAATACAAGATCGGCAGGCCGAATTCTAAATGCCCTTGCATACATTCCTATATTCAATTTACGAGTTAATAAAAATGTAAATATATATACAGCTGATCGATATATTAGTACGATCTGTAGCACATATGCGTTATCTATGCGAGGTTTCATGCAGTTAGCTTTAAATTGTTTGAGAATGGATTTGCGGGAAAACAGATTTAGATTCTACTTCTGTTGCTTATAAGGAATATATATCTAAAGGGGATATCACCTTCTCTATGTTACACACTTTATGGCAAAGCCATACTACCTTCTGCAAGGGTATATACATAGAGCATAAAGCTCACATAAATTAGAAACATAGAGCAAAAACCAAACTATATAAAAATGCCGTTCTTAAGCTGAATAATTAGCAGAAAAGTAAACGTGAAAAAATATCATGAGAATGTAGGCATATACAGGCAAAGTATCAATTAAAATAAAATAAAAATGCACCAAGCTCAAAAAATCATACAAAACTAAGAAATCTGTGAGAAAGATGAACGCCTCAGTGGACTTTTATTAAATGTTAATCTTTGATAAATTTATAAAACCCCAATAAAAAACAGTCAACCTAGCCTGGATCGGAGCACGAGTCAAGTGGACAAAGAAGGCGAAGTTGATTATCTAATAACACTGTGGGACATTTAAATCATAAAAAGTGTGTGTGAATGTAAGAAAAACTAGCCAAATAATAGCTGGGCTATAAAATAATACAAAATATATGCAAAAACATAATTTAGTGTTGTATCTAGATTTGGAAATGGAAGGTTAAGCGAATTAATTACTAATTTGTAGACAAACGGCATTAAACACAATATAAAAATCGTTTTATTGTTAATTTTCAACACGATTTACCTCCATTAAATGGAGACACACGAAAAGGAAAGTGCCGACAATCAAAAAGACTTTGGACTCGATATAAATATTATTAGTATATGTATTAAAAAAAAAAAGAACAAATAATGTTCTAAAGAAACTAAGAACAGGAAATCATAAAATTGCCTCGTGTGAATGGTTGACAAATTAAATTCCAGCCGACAGGCGCGTCCCGTCCCCTAAGTTCAATTGGGCCTAGGCCTATAATTAGATTTTGCCAGGGCAGTTGAAAAAAAGCTGGACTACAATACAAAACAAACAACAACAAAAAAAAAAACTATTCGAAAACATAAAAAATATTGAACAACAACAAATTTTAAGTGAACAGAAGTTTGTGTGTGTATGCCGTGTAAAAATAATCAACTAAGCAAGAAAATCCTTTTGGTCTTTATGGAAACGCGGCAACGCGGCGTATGCGCGATTATGTTGAAAATATTACGCATCGGCGCGCGTGCTTGGTAGCGCAATGGATTTGGGGGGGGGGGAATCGAAGGGTGCGGCTGATGATGAAATCACTTGACAAAGACGGCACTTGGACAACAAATCAAAATAGACAGGCTGGCGAGAGCGTTTAGCACAGTTCTTGTGGCGGCTATTTAAAAATACATAAGCAACAGAAACTAATTTCGGAATATATTCAAGTAAAAACTGAGCAAAAATACCAAAGAGTTACGGAAAAGACACTTTTTCTGTGTGAACGAGCGCCAAAAAGGCCATATCCCAGGCCAGAGCGTCCTTCTACCCCATCCCCCCCTACACCAGCCTCATACCCCTGCGGTTACCCGGGGTTCTGGTATTCTTTTGCCTTCGTCGCTCAATAGAAAAATGCTTAGATGCGATTTTCACTCGCTGTGCACATAATGGAATGAAGAAAATTCCGTCTGTCGACAACAACAACAACAACGAGAAAAACTAATCGCATGCTGGGCACCAAACGGCTAGCAAAGATGTCGTAGTTGTCACTTTGGGGGCCTCCAATGAGTTGCAGTTTGCGATTCTCACACAGTTTCTATTATGCATGTCGGATGCACACACAAAAATAGCCCTCGGACAAAAGTAGTGGGTTAGCCACAGCCCACAGCCCACAACCCACTTTCCACCACCAGCCAAATGCTAAGTAGTATTTCATGGCATCTAGTATAACCGCAATGGCTAAACAATGGAAATTGGCAGATTTATAGCACAGCCCAGAAACCCAAAGATACAGACAGAGATAGACATATAGCCAGGCCAGACCCCATCACGTAAGAGACCAGAGACCAGCCAAAAACAAGTCAAAGTGCTCGAGTCGAAACCGCCCAACGAGAAGATACCCTGCACCCAGTCTGATCATCAAAATCCGGTTCAAATATCTGTTATATCTGTCAAGAAGCAGGAAAGGAGATACCAGTACATGAAACATTTTTAGCTCTTTATGAAGAGCGATAGAGAACCATATCAATTGACTTTTGAGTAAACAAAAACATTTAAATTCCAAATAAAAACGGACGATAGAATGGACAGGTGGATGGATGCACCTGTCCAGTTCGACTAGACGGCAGACGTTTATATGCTAGACTGAAAGCTGCCTGTTTCGTGTTACATACATATGCACAACTACAATATACACCTTTTGCGCCCAGAACAGGGTATGCAAATCACAACGACAAGATTAGCAAATTAATTTTATTTAAATAAATTTAATTTAATTGCCAGCCAAAGCACATGCTAAGCCCCTGCGCACCTAACACCATCTCACAGTCTGTGTCTGTTTGTCTGTGTGTGTGTGTGTGCTCTGTTGTTTTCTTGTTCCTTTCAGCATTTCTATTGTAATTTAGATTTGTCAACTGGGTGTTGTCTGGTTATATACACAAAATAGCCCAGGCATATACAAACCTACCTTGGAATGCAGGCGAGCAGGCAAGGCTAGCCATGCAGTTAATATTTCAAATGAAAATGGGCAAATATCAATTAAAACAATTTATTATATCGCCAATTACTAAACATAATTTAATAATGAATTAATTTGTACCTTAGCTGACAAATATTCTTTTTCTTGTGCAACTTGTAAAGCTCCAAACTTGCATAAAGACTTTACACTTTTCGATATGCTATTCCCTTAAATCTTTCTAATACCCTCACGGGCAGACGCTCACAGGCCTTACTATGTCACACCTAGAACGCACACAGCTTCAACTACATCACAGCTATTCATATCATGAAGCAGCAGCAGCAGCAGTAGCAAAGCATACCGTGGCGTATGAGTAATATGCCAAATGCTACGACATAATACGTATACGCCGCGTGCGCGTCTCGAGCAGCGGTTATCGGCATAAAGATCAACGCGCTATGAAGAGCATTTCGCGAGTCTCTTAAAATCAAAGCGTAACGAAAAGTGTGTGACAAAATGTTCAATAAATAAACAAAATAAACAAATAAAAACGACAGCGAACAGAAACGCAAGACAAACAAACAAATTATGAATAGCAAAATAAACGCGAATTGTGAATTGAAAAACGCGCGTTTCTTTGACAGCAAAAATCTATAAGAATAACCAAGGAACTATTTCAATTATTTGCAGACCCATTTATGTGAGCAACACAGGATAATCTTAATGAATTATGGAACATGTGAATACAACAAATGCCAGGCAACAGCAACAACAACAGCAGCAGCTGCAGCAACATCAACTGGAGCAGCAGCAACAACATAGCGAAAATCAGCAACAATTTTGCCTGAGATGGCATAATCATCAGGTGAGCAAAGTGTCAGCAAATAAATAAAAATAAAATTAAATAAATGAATTAATAAATCAACTTATTACTGAGGATATTGATAAATAAATGTTAGAAAAGCCCATAGAAAGGATAAGGATAGTATTTGAATAATAGAACGGGCCACAAATCTTGCCAAATTCATATAACTAAATGGAATTCTACTTGGTGCATTTATAATCCACGCCATTGTGCTTTCTTCTCGGTTCAGGTGCCATCCATTCCGAGCTACTTAGCTCATCTTATGATTTATTGGCTTCAATCTGTTTTCCAAAGCAAACGAAAATTTCAAATGAATCGAAATGAATGTTTTTATAGACGTCGTCAGTTTATACGGTGTATTATCTAAAGGCCTGGCCTCGGGCATAAAACTGACTGGACATCGTTCACAAGAAGCGACTAGCGAAATGTCACCCGTCTATATATAGGGTATAGCGATATATATATATACATATATATATATATAAATATATGTATATATATATGTTACTTATTCACACATAGTTTTCCGCATTTCATATACTGACAATTTTGTTGCTCACCAATGCTGGCCACAGATCAGCCGTCGGGGCTGGGTGGCACTGGGAGGGAACCACAAAGCTGTCCAAAATAGCCAAAGGCAACAGAGCGGCGCGGAGTAAGTCGGGGCACCGAACACAGAGAGAAGGAGCAAAATACAAAAAAAAAAAAAAAAAAAAAAAAAATTGTCAAATAAATGAAATGTTCATTGCAATTGCCAAAATCCAAAGAATTTTTACTAGCAACTAAATCTAATTTCGAAGCGGCGGCCACAAACGCGACGCAGTTGCAATTAATGCTCAGCTGCCATTAAGTGTCGCCTGGCGCATCTGCTCCAAATGTTTTCCGGGCGCACTTTCTAGCCTAGGGCCGACAGCACAAATTTAGCCAGCCCCACGTCCCAGTCCCAGGCAGCTGGCCAAATCGACTCGTACTATTTATACGATTAAGTGACCCAATTGCCCTTCCAATTGCAACTACAACATATTCCGCTGCCTCGTCTCCATTCCAGACCAGCTTGCTCAGCACGCTGCCCGTGCTGCTGGATCAGTCGCAGCTGACGGATGTGACCATTTCGGCGGAGGGTCGTCTACTGCGTGCGCATCGCGTGGTGCTGAGCGCCTGCAGCAGCTTCTTCATGGAAATCTTTCGTGCACTGGAGGCCAGCAATCATCCGGTCATCATAATACCCGGTGCCAGTTTTGGCGCTATTGTCGCCCTGCTAACGTTCATGTACTCGGGCGAGGTGAATGTCTACGAGGAGCAGATACCCATGCTGCTCAATCTGGCCGAAACACTGGGCATCAAGGGACTGGCGGATGTGCAAAATAATAATGTAAGTAATTAGGAATTGCCAAGTGTTTATCCAAATCTCACCCATACCCGCCCTGGCCATAGCTGCCCAAGACAACGAAAGGTGCTCCGTGCAGCACGCCGACAGCCTGCATGGAGCCCGCCAGCGTGGACAAGCCGCTGGCATTTGATACAACTAGGACACCATCGCCTGCGGCCACACCCACAAATACACCTGGTCTGGTCATGCCGCAGCTGCCAAATCCCACGCTGCAAGCGCCACTGCTCGCCAACAAGCTGGGCTCACCATTGGAGAACTTCTTTCTTAAGTCGCTGCAATTCTATCCGAATCTCTTGCCGCAACCATTGAACTTCTCGCAGACGGCGCTGAACAAGACCACAGAGCTGCTGGCCAAGTACCAGCAGCAGTGCCAGCTCTACCAGAACAGTCTGGAGGAGGAGGACTGCTACGGGTCCAAACGGCCGAAGACCGGCAGCGGGGCCACCGGCAATCCAGGCAATTCAACGGCACAGCAACAAAAGGACGTCAAGCGCATAGACAAGATCGTGGAAAATCTGAGGACTAGCAATAGCAGCAAGTCGCCCATGGAATGTGCTGCTCCGAATTCAATAGTGGCCACCTCACCGGTCACACTGGCGCCACAGAGCATGTCGCACTTCTCACCGCAGCTGCCCGTGGTGAAGTCGTCGCCCAGCTACAATAATCCTTTGAGCGCCGGCCACTTGTACAGCAGCGCCAAGCTGCCTAGTTATAGTGCCGCTGCCACGCCCACAACGGCACAGCAGGCATCCCACCAGGCGTCAGCACACCATGCCAGTCCGCCGTACATTACGCCCGAGGATCACGTCAAGCTGCAACAGCACATCGAACAGTACGCGGCCTGCCAACGGGAGGCTGCGGCCGCTGCAGCAGCTGGGCAATTAATTAGCGCCAAGTCGGAGCCAAATCTGTTATCACTGAGTGCCGAGAAGATGCCCACGGCCAACAAGCCGCCGTCCAACTCCAAGCTCTATGCCACATGCTTCATCTGCCACAAGCAGCTCAGCAACCAATACAATTTGCGTGTGCATCTCGAGACCCATCAGAACGTGCGGTAAGCTATTCCTCCTGGACACATGCGGTTCTTGGAATTAACTTGTAATCTCCTGCAGCTATGCGTGCAATGTTTGCTCGCATGTGTCGCGCAGCAAAGATGCACTGCGCAAGCATGTCAGCTATCGTCATCCTGGCGCGCCGTCTCCCTGCGAGAACGAGGCCCGACGCAAGCGCGTCACAAAGCTGGCAGCGCAATCGATCTCCGCCACTGCGCCGTCGGCTACGGCGACCAGTGGCGATGTGGCCGCCGGCGAGGCATCAGGCTCCGGCGCGGGGTCAGGATCAGGCTCAAGTGGCGGTTCGGGCTCAGGTGCGCTCTCCTCCAATCCTTACCTTTTTCTTCCCAATCAGTTTCAGCTGGCCGCCGCGGCGGCTGCTGTTGCCGTGGCCGAATCGAATACAGCACCCAGCCTGGAGGTAGCGCACGAGGTGCCCGTTTCCATGAAGAGCGAAACGGATACGTCGACCATTTGAGGCAGCAACACAAATTCAACTTGTTAAACACGCACTCAAACACATACACGCACACACACACTCGCACACAAACAACCTCTCACTTAAATTAGCCCCACCACGTACCGAAACCAACGTCTTAGACCCGGCTGTGATACTTAGCACAATTCGTCGTTTTTGTTTTCGATTTATTTTTGATTCTGTTAATTTTGGCGCCATTTGTTAGAGTTTCGCTTGCACTTATCGATAAGGCGCGTCGATAAGTCGTGAGTGGTGGCAGCACTGTCACCGTTTGGGGGTGACATGTGCGAACAGTTTTGATAGCACTGAGTGCACCCAAACTGTTTGTATTATCACAAACTGTAATACCGCGAGGCTTCAAACTACCTTCTACAAATACCAAAGCACACACACACACACATACACTTTTACGCACACACGCCTACACATTCTAATAAATTAAGAGCAATTTTTATAAATATAATTATACACCAAAAAACACGCACACACATGCACACAAAAAGACAAGGTGAAAACCTATAAAAACCAAGAACAAAATAAATTTTAAGCGACAAAAAAGACATTAGTATTGTTACTTTTATGCAAAAACTAATTTATTTCATTTCATAATACAATAATTTACGTACGCAGGCGCACTTTATACATATGTTTAAACTGTAGTTCAGTTGTATAAGTATCAAAAATTTGTTTAAAACACATACAAGTATAATGAAGTGGGATTGGTTTGACGGAATTATTTCAAAGAATAGCTCATGTTTAAATATTTCAATTCACATCATGCAAAAAGAAAATATGATTGGCAGAAAAACACTTTTGGGCTTAAAGTTAAGGGGCATAATGAGTGCGTAATATAAATATCTAAATTTAAATAAACTGTTGCACTTAAATGAAATGAAGCTGATTCCGAAGCATTAGTAGGAGCTCGGCGGCAATTCAATGGGTTTTAAACGGATCCGTCTCTCCTCTTTCTCGCTGAATAAGTATAAAAATATGCGCTGGCTGCGCTATATATATCTCGTTGCTCTTTTCCTATTGGCATAATTTAGATAGTTTCTACATGCCAGACTTTGGTATTGCAATCCTGACCAGTGGAGATCACAGTATTATTGTCCAGCCACACTAGGCGCGTAATTTGCGACTGTGGATGAGCATCTAAATAGAAGAGAACAATGTTATTTTAAAGTCAGTTATATAGTTAAGTTTTTCTCACTCTTGATGATGGTGTGCTTTGCTGGATTGGTCACAGACCAAATAATAATTGTAGTATCAAGCGAGCCGCTGGCCACTAGCAGCGAGTTGGGTGACCAGGCCACAGTATTGACGCGCGCATTATGGAAGCCCCATTCCTTGTTGTGAGCCAGCTTGAATAATAAATTAAATAAGATAAGATAACATGGAAGTCGTAATATGTTTCAAATATTCTTTATAGGTAGCAGCCGCTCACCTTGTATTCTTCCACCGAATAAAGGACCACCTTACGATGAGCATCACAGGCAACCAAATACTTTTGATCCGGCGAATAGGCAACATCGGTGACAGCGCCCAGATGGTCCAGTTCCGTCTTCAGCTCTAAAGTGCCGTCTTTAAGTGAATAGATATGCAGTTTTTGATCATCACCACCGACAGCCACATCCAAAGTGTCAGCATTGGCTGCAATAGAGCTGGCTTCGTATTTGATGGGCAGCGAGAATATCTTCTTTTGACCCTGCACCAAAGTAAGCTCCTTAATGCAAGCCAAGGCAATGATATTCTCACTCCGTAAGATGGCCAAGCCGCGTGGCTGGCAATTCAGCTTGACTACGTAGTCCGTGTAGCTGTTGCCCTCGACACTGAACTGCCTTAGACTATCGTCAATTCCGCATGTGTAGACAAATTCATCCCAGGCGGCAATGCCGTTTATCTGATTGCCATGACCAGTACCGGTGATGCGATCGTTGACGCCGTTGCCGGAATTCCAGTTGGTCACAATGCCGTCATGGCTGCCGGTGTATATAGTGCTGCGGTCATCGCTCAAGCCCAGGACTGTAATTGGTTTATTGTGACCCTTGACCACCCGCAGTGGCTTGCTGGGATCCTCCACATTCAAGTAAGTAATCACTCCAGACAGGGAGACGGTTAGCAAATGCTCCCCTTGCCACAGACACGACACCTGCTGATCATCCACGGTGCTGCCCATAACAAACTCGCTGATCAGCTCACGAGACTCAACCTGCCAGAGACGGCAGGTCTTATCACCCGAGCAGGTAAGTAGCTGTGTGCCGTCTGGCTTCCATGCGACCGCATAAACGCCACCCTTGTGTGCTGGCGAACCAAATTCGCCCAACAGTTCCGAGCTGGTTCCATCATACAAAAACACCTTGCCATCAAAGCCAGCCGAGGCAAAGTATTTACCGTCCGGCGAGTAGCGCACAGCCTGCACAAAACGCGAATGCTCCTGCTTTGTCATTTTAAACTTGAACGGAGGTCCCTCGAAAATGCCGATCGTGTTGTCTTCGCTGCCTGGAATTCCATGTATTAGATGCTAAACTATTTATAGAATATATTATTGCGTACCAGTCACGATGCGGAATGGTCTGGCTGGCCTGAAGTCCGCCGAGTTGATGGGCTTGGACTGGCCACTAATTTCACCCACTGATGTACCCGTTTCGGACATAAAGACATGACCAAAACGCTCGCGTCCCTCGCCGACGGCGACAATGCGTTGATTGTCCGGCGACCAACTGATGTCCTTAATAGGTCCTACAATCGGCTGGAATTCATTCTTCAGCAAATGCTCCTTGTTAACGGTATCCCAAATACGAATCTTGCCAGAGGCATCTGTATGATAACAACGAAAAATGTTATTTACTTGAAATATTTTTGATGAAAAATATCTTATATTTATGATGTGCAAGCGAGCACGTTTATTTAACTAAATTCCCCGTTATATACATATTGCTATAGATAAGAGGGTAAATTCTATAAAAGATAACATCAATACAAAAGCTAGATAGCATGGTAGAAAGGTATGCCTACATATAGCTCTTACGGTTGATCAAGATTGGAAAAATGGGTTATTATTCTATGCAATTTTTTTTATTAAGTTTTCATTCGCTTTGAAAGTGATAAGTTAATCGCCCCATGCTCATATGGAAATTGTGTATTGACAGCTGACGTGAGTCATGGACATGATTGTGGTGTCTGTGATTTTTACGGCTTCTTTACAGCTGGTTGCATTGCTTAACTTACCGCCGGATGCAATGTAGAAGCCGCTGGGCGAATACTTGGCCACATTCACTGCACACGAGTGTTCCGTGTAGACATCGGCAATCGCTGGATTCTATGCAGGCGATGATGGTAATCGGAGCGTGACGAGGCAAATCAAGAAAAGCGCACAAATAACAAAATTCAAAAAATTAATAATATTTACAAGCAATTTTGTTGTGGACAGCGGCAGCCGCAGCAGCAGCGGCGTCATCATAATTATGTTGTGTGGGCAGTAAGATAGATAAAGAGAGGGAGCGAGAGAGAGTGAAAGAAATTTCTATGTGTGTGTCTGTGTGTTTGTTTTTGTGAAGAAAAAGCCGCGCCGGCTGCGGCAATATATACAATGTATATACACATACTTATGTACAGATGTGCGGTAAATAAATATAGAACAGCCAGCATACACACACACACACGCACAGATAGAATGATCGCTGTCAAGTGGAAAATAACGCTTGAAAATTGCAGCTGCCGCCGTGCGCAGTCCAAAAATAAAACATTATTCGCTTTTTGGAGCAGACGTCTCATATTTTGTGTTATTATTATAGCCCAAATTTGTGCAGATATCAAATGAACTTACCTCAATATTTCTGATTATCACCGAGTTGCCATTGGTATAGAGAAAGTTCTTGCCCTTGGGATCTGCACCCAAAACAATGGGCTGGCCACGTTGAGTGCGCGGCAGCGTTGCATAGACATTTTCTGCAAAGTTTTTTAAATTCAAATTTAAATTAATAATGAAAACATATTATAAACCGCCATGGGTAGACAGTTAAAAACAGAACAGGGTGCGGTCGGCGGCTTTTAGCCGGTTTGTGCTTTGCTTTCGCCGGGTCAAGGGATCCCCCTGCCCGCACTACTGTTTATCTGAATATGTCTACGACTACGTTGCGTCGCCGACTAGCTGAATTCCATTTATGGTCATATCAAAGCGTTTCCGCTGTTTTTACCGTTCTTGGCTGACTCATTTTCGGCGACGCCGCTATTGCTGTTTTCACTACTTTTATGGTAATTTTAGAATCAAGTATAACTTACTGTTTTCATAGGCCGGTTGTTGTGGTTGCGCCATTGCTTTTTCTCTAGTGGCTTACGATTTCCTATTGGCTTTGTATAAATAGCAAATTGATATATTAGCGTAAAAACACCCGCACTAGCACTGTACGCGACCAGGGCTGCCGTACAAATTTGATGCCTTTCGTTGTTATTAAGTTTAACAGCGACAAGAGTTTAACATTTTAATATTCTGTTATTAACATGTCAAAACTGCTATTATTCAAATATTTTCCTCACAAAAAACCATAGACTTTTTATTTACTTAGCGGAATTCAATACACATTAATGGTAATGAGCAATTAAGTTTGCTTTCGTTTGGAATAAGAGCGGCTATTGAGTTTTAAGTTTGAATTTAACAGTCTAGTTTACAGTCTCTACATATGCATAACAAGCCATAACATACTCTCACCAAGCAGGAGAGGGATGGAAATAAAAATATCTTGACGTTTGTACAATGTTAAAAGTCAGCTGATCTGTGATGACTGTAATATGCTAGGACTCATTACAAGTCAGTCAGCAGCTGTTTAATGCTATGCATCATTTGCCATTTTCTTCTAATTTAGACATTATACAAAAAATTATTTCTTATTGATCCTTTCTTAAATTTTTTTCGTAGCAAACTCCATTTAGCAAATCAGTTATTTGCTTTATGTTAAACAAGTATTGAATTCTGAGAAACAATTTCGTGCACTGTTAAAAACTTTCAACGAATGTTAAAGTTTCTAGGTGCCCACAACTATCCGTATGTAATTCGTAACCTTAAAAATGTTTTGTTTACTTTTGCGCCATACGCGTAATTCCCGTCAATTACTTTTTAAGCAAGTTTTAAAATTACCGGCTTACACAGTCAAAAATGCGCTGCACACTACAAGATGTAAGTGACCCGCCTCAACGTTGGGCGCAGCTGCTATTTGCAATTGTGCGTGTTGATTATGAAATTATATTTGGCTTGTGTATTGTTTTTAGTTCTGAGACATGGCGAGTACGAGTGGCAAGATCCTAAATCACCGGATGAAATGTAAGTAACTGGCAAAAATAAGCGCTTAATGTGGACGATTTGTGATAATTTGCTCGATCTAGCGTTAACATAACGTATGTCGACAAGGAGGGCAAACGCACCAAGGTGCAAGGAAAGGTGGGCGACAATGTGCTGTACCTGGCGCACCGGCATGGCGTTGAAATGGAGGGTGCCTGTGAGGCATCTCTAGCTTGCACCACATGCCATGTGTATGTGCAGCACAACTATCTCGAAAAGCTGAACGAGGCAGATGAAAAGGAGGATGACCTGCTAGATATGGCGCCATTTCTGCGAGAAAATTCCCGCCTTGGCTGTCAAATAGTGCTTGAAAAGAGCATGGAAGGCATGGAGCTTGTGCTGCCCCAGGCAACACGTAATTTCTATGTGGACGGACACAAGCCAAAGCCTCATTAACACAGCGTTGTTTATTGCTATTATTCCCAGTTAAATAAAGATTATGTTTTAAGTGTTCGTGTTCCCAACTTTCATATATTTCTTAAGTTTATAAACAATGCTTTCGTTTTGTGTGTCATCTGGCAAATTAAACTAAAGAACATTTTATTAAGTTGAGCCTATATAATTACATTTTCTAATTGGTGAATACCATGAAATGAAAGCAGAACGAAAAGGATGAAAACAGTTTGAGTTTGTGGAAATGTGGTGTCATAAGAAATGGTATAAAACAATATTGTAATAATTATGTTACAATTAAAGAATATATGTAATAGTCTAAATGTGTATAGCGACAAACTAAAAATCATTACAACAAATACACTGCACTATAGAACGATTGTGCCGGTGTGTGTGAATGATGCTCATTGGGTTAAGTGTGCGTTCAGTTCGACGACGGACTGCTGGAACCTGAGCGAGAGTGCACGCTACCACGGTCCTGGTCGCTACGCTCCTCATCACGATCGCGACTCTTTTCATCCTTGTCCAGATCACGTTCTGGCTCTCGCTTGCTTTGCTTATCGGGCGCAGGAACAGCAACAAGTTCTTCTTTGGGCGATAAGTTCTCGCGTTTGATTGCTTCCTTTTCAGCTTTGGTGACGCCGCCGCCGCCTCCACCGCCCTTTTTGTTGTTGCTTTTCTTCATAACAGCCAAGTCTTTCAGAAGGCTGGCAACCTTGCGATTCAAATTGTCAACTTTCATGTCATGCAGCCGCTCAACCTCCTTCAGTCTGTTGCGCATCTCGTTCTCCTTTTCGAAGTTTTTGCCCTTCAGCTCTGTCAACTGCAAATATTAAAATATTCATTACAAATTCATTAGCATTGTTTTAATGTGTTTTTGCGTGTCACCCACTTGCTTATCCTTCTCCAGGAGCTCTTTGTCTTTTTGATTCAAGCGCTTCTCAAGACTGGCAATGCGCTCCTTCAGATATGTAATGGCTACCACGTGATCCGACGAGTTTGTGTCCACTGTGATGGCAGCTGGTGCAGCAATTGTGCCGTTACCGCTATTGCCGCGCGATATCTTGTCGGGTAGATCTAAGCCGGCACCGCCAACTGATGTTACACCGCTGGTATTGATGTTGCCAGCGCCTTTGGAAATGTCTGCACCGCGTGTTGATTTCTTTGCGGACGCGTGGCCTTCTCTATGCGCAGTTGACGAGGACTTCTCATGTGGTCGCTTCTTAGACATGGATATTCGGCCCTCCTGCTGCGCTTTCAGCAGAGCACGCTTATACGCACAGGTACACAGCCAACACAGTACTTTGCCATTGACCTGCAAGAGGGCAAATAATTGTTCGATTAAGATAAAGTGTTATTCGTGGTTATGCTGGCTTAAATACTAAAGTGTGCTCTTAAAACTTTTAGGCTCAACACTCTTATGAACGCAATACAAAATCTCTAGACTCATGACTGCAACACGCCACTCGGTGGAGCTGTACATGATGTTTGTCTAAATGAAACAGGTTTTTCTTAAAATTATGTTATTCAATATTGTTAAAGTAAAATGGCTGCAATCCTTGATGCTGACTCTAGTTAGCTACATCAGCTTTGAGCCTTCTTCTTTGTATATCGCTGACCTTTTTGTTCTCGTCGCGCCTGTCAAAGGCCGATCGCAGCTTGCACTCGTCGCATTGTGTGGGCGGTCCGTACTTAGCCTCATAGCTGGCGCATCTATTTGCAGTTAGTGTGATATTTGGTTTGGTTAAAATGTTTTTCATTTTGTTTGGCACACACACGTGGAGCAGAAAAGAGAAGAGAGAAAAATGTTTTGCGTTCATAAGAGACGTTGTTTTCGTTTCTATTTTGTTTGGTTTGCTATTTGAAGAGTTCAAGAAGAGAGTATCTACTCAAGGGCAAGGCAAACGCGCTTTGGTACATGTATTTTGAAGGCACAATTAGTTGGGTAACAAGGGAAGGTACATGGCTAAACATAAAGTTCGTTTAATAAGTTATTTGATTATCAAATTATATTGATACGAGCTCTTTATACATTGTGCATTCAAATTACAGCGGCTGCCACGTTGCTCGTGCTTTTTAATTTATTTTTTTTTTCTATCAAAGTGACTAGTTTTTGCTTTAGTTAAAGTGATTGAGTTGAAGATCAACGTACCTCATGCATTTGGAACTGCCGAAGGCGGCAACGATTTTGCAGCACTCACAGGCGGTGGGCTTGCCATATTTACTCAAATAATGTTCGCATTTTTTACAGGCACTCTGTGATTTGCTGGAAATGTGAAAAAAAAAACGAATAGAGCCATGCAGAATAGACAGATTTAAGCATTTTCATTTACTTACGAGGTGGAGGGAAATTCCGAGCGGCAGTAAGTACATTTAACAACTGAGGTAGAACCACGGCACACCTGTGGAAAATCAAAATGAAAATGAAACGTGAGTTGTGTTTATTTCAGCCTTGTCTAAAACAAGTGAGAATTGTTCGCTGAGCACGAGCATATTTTGCTGCTTGCTTTTGTTTGTTTGCATTGCAATTGTATTCTCAATAAAAGCGGTGTTTAGCTGGACCCTGAATTGATAGGCAATTGCAGTTCAACACATTACAATTACGGCGGCAGCTTCAAATTTCATTAGTCACAGGCGTCGTCGCCACGGCCATATACAATGTTGCAATGAGCTGCTACCATTCTGCTTCCTCTTGCCGTTCATTTTCACTTTTAATGCGCAGCAAGAATTTTCGCAAGCAAGCGTCGCGTCATTTTTATTTTGTTATTGCCAAGAGCAATAGCCCACGTACACATCCTTTACTTTTGGCACAATGCATACACACACATGCGAAATGCTGTTTGTTTGTTGCATTTTGTGTTTGTTTAAGAGATTTAATTCGTATTATTTGTTTCACCTTGCAAAGCTGCTGGCCCGAGGAAAGTTCTTCGTATGGGTGCCGAGAAAAACATTTGGAGCATGCGAATAATACTTTTGAACTCATTTCTAAATTTGTGTTTTATTTCTCTTTTGTGCTATTTTCTTTAATAAATTTTACTTTTTATTTGCGATTTAGAAGACGACGCAAACAGTGTCACCACAATAATTAAATTGAAATACAAGCTCGGCATTGGGGTGACCATGCTTCACGCAAATAAACATTTATCGATTTTCAATTTATCGTACGCACAGCAACCCTCTAAATACAGCTCAGTTTCAGTGAGTGCAAAGAAGAAGAGAGAAAGACGCCTCAAAGCAAAATTCAAACAATTCAAAAAACGTCCAATTCAGGCTGTACTAATAACTCAACAAAAAAACAAGAAAAAACAAACAGATAACAACAATAAGCGAAAAGTGTAACTAAACAGTTTCAAACATGCCTGAACAAACCAATATTAAAGTGATAGTGCGCGTTCGACCATACAATCAGCGGGAAACAGAACAAAATCAAAGATGTATTATAAAAGTAATGGACGGATCTTCACTGTTGTTCGACCCAGACGAGGAAGACGACGAGTTCTTTTTCCAGGGTGCCAAGCAGCAATACCGAGACATCTCTAAGCGTACTAACAAAAAACTATCAATGGAATTCGATCGTGTCTACGACACAGATCGCACAAACGAGGACCTGTTCATGGAGTGTACAGCGCCGCTGGTCGATGCAGTGCTCGATGGGTAAGTGTAAGAAAGCACTTGATACATAATATTGTTGTTAACGTGTGCATCTCGCTGTGCTGACAGGTACAATTGTTCGGTGTTTGTGTACGGTGCGACGGGTGCAGGCAAAACATACACAATGCTTGGCAGCGAAAATAGTCCGGGTCTCACGTTTCTGACAATGCGCGACCTTTTCGAGAAAATTCAAAGCCAACAGGACATACGCAAGTTCGACGTGGGCGTCAGCTATTTGGAGGTGTATAACGAGCAGGTTATGAACCTGCTTACAAAATCAGGCCCCCTAAAGCTGCGCGAGGACTCGAATGGTGTGGTCGTGAGCGGATTAGTTCTGCAGCCCATATACAGTGCTGACGAGCTGCTGCACATGCTCAGACTGGGCAATTCGAATCGCACGCAGCATCCAACGGATTCCAACGCGGAAAGCTCACGTTCGCATGCTATTTTCCAAGTTCACATTCGGATCACGGATCACAATACTGGTGCCAAGCGCAGTGTTAAGCTCTCCATGATTGATTTAGCGGGCAGTGAACGTGCGGCTAGCACCAAGGGCCTTGGTATGCGCTTCAAGGAGGGCGCCAGCATCAACAAGAGCCTGTTGGCGCTGGGCAACTGCATAAACAAGCTGGCCGATGGTCTAAAGCATATACCCTATCGCGACTCGAACTTGACACGAATTCTAAAAGACTCCCTCGGCGGTAACTGCCGCACTCTGATGGTGGCCAATGTATCTATGAGCTCGCTCACTTACGAGGACACCTATAACACCCTCAAGTATGCCAGTCGCGCCAAGAAGATACGCTCTGTGCTGCGCCAGAATGTGCTCAAGTCGAACTTGCCCAAGGAATTCTATGTGAAGAAGGTTACCGAGCTTATGAGCGAGCAGGAACGTCTATTACAGCATAACAAGGGTTTGGAAGCCAAGCTGGCGCAAATGGAACGCTCCGGAAACAATGGCTACGATCCTCAGGAGCTTAAACCGTGGTTTAACCGAATCGACGCCGTATACGCAACTGTTATCAAACTGCAGCAGTGCGTCATTGGTCTACGCAGCAAAATACAGACCCTGAGCTACCGACAAACGCTGAAGAAAGACTTTGAGCAGCTGCGCAAAATTGTGACGCTGGACCAACGACTGTTCCAGGAGGTGCGTATCTTGATTAACTCTTAAATTTGCTGCGCCCAAGCGTGATGATAAATTTGTCGACGCTTAAGGCTAATTATCAGACAAAAGTTTATCTTACATAGTTTTGATATTTCATAAAAGGCAGTGACATTTATGGGCAAACTTTATAATCAATATCAGTCTTTATGTATCGCCGAGAAGCTCTTTCTGTTTGCTAGCCAACAATTTGTCCGCCTCGGCAATGTATTTGTCCGCAATGGCCGTGACCTGGGTCTGGGCCGCAAACGCATCGTCCTTTCCAATGTCCGTCTGCTTCTTGAGCTTGCGTATCTGTGTATTCTGTATGTCTCGTATGGCGTCGCGGTACTTGATAAACATAGCTTTGGCATTCTTGGAGAGGTGCTCGCGATGCTCCTTGGTCACCTTGGGTATTGGTATGAAGAGTGTTGTGCCGTCCTGCTGCGGGTTTAGATTCATGCCACTTTTTTCTATTGCCCGCAACACATCGGGTATCGTTTGGGGAAAGGCAATCATATTCACAACAATCGTCTTTGGATTCTTGCGCGATATCTGCGCTAGCTCCTGCAGCTCATGCTCCGCTCCATCCACTTTGATACGCAGCGAGTCGATGGCGCCGCTTGTGGAGCGCAGCGACAGGTTCTTTATGAAGTCGTCTTTCATTTGGAGCACTGACTTTTCCATCTGTGCATTCAGGCTGTCCAGGTTAATTAGTTCGCGCAGCTGCTGCTCATTTATCTCCACCTTAACAGGTTTACCTTTGCCGCCTTTTTCTTTCTTTCTATCCTTGCCTTTTGCATAACCGCGCGCCTGTTGCAGCCACAAGGCTGCTTCTCCTGCTCCCGTTTGTGGATGTTGTTGATATTGGCTGAATGTATTGAGCACCGGACGAAGTGGCGTTAGCCTAGTGCTCAAGGCACGTAAATGCACTCCCGTTTTGGCGAGCATTTCCAAATAATTAAAATTTACAAATAATATAAATGTCAAGTTGCCAACTTGCTTCAAATTGAATATATCTGGCAAACAGCGTTGCCAACTTGTTTTGCTGGGCAAGGACAGTACGCTGACGAAGCAAAAAGCTGTGAACATATTTGTTCTGTGTTTTATGTGTTTATATAAATTTATAATTTTAAAAATATTCACACCTCTCTTGTTGGCAGGACTATAAACTATTCACGAACTATGTGAACGCATTGGGCGCAAGAAATCAAAAATATACCGATGAGCTGCCATTGTGGCGCAACAAGTTGGAGGCTGCCTGCATAAATCTGAAAAAGCTAAAGCTTGAGGCGAAGGAATCAAAGTACCACCACATACTCAGCTTGTATTTAAGCAATAAGGATCTGGAAGTGCAGCTGTCCAAGCAGCAGATAAACAGCAATCATCTGACCGGTATTAACAATGAGCAGGCGGAGAATTCGAGCCTCCTGCGTAAGTCCTTTTCCATGATCTGCGATGTATTACATCAGTTATACAATCGTCTGGAGGAGACGCAGAAACTGACGCCTGAGATACAAGGTGTATACGAACGATTGGAAAGAAAGATGCGTTTCACGGAGTCGGAAACAGAAGCTACAGCGCAGGACATGGAATTGGATGCACTCCTTGCCGAGCAGCATGAGGAGGATGAGCCGTCATCAGCATTGACCAGCAGCGCCAGAAAGCGCAATCGCACTCGTCGCTACACGCACACATTAACCAATAGTGAATTTGTGCTTCACCTGGGCGTGGATAGCTTCGAGGACACAGACTCTGACACGGACACTGTAGAGGACAGCCAGCAGCAGTTTAAGAAACCACGCAACCTTGACGTTACTCAAGTTATTGCCAGCAACACGAAGTCGCACAAAGCGCTAACAGCGACCGTAACCAAACCACGACCCGTCAGCCATCGTATGGTATCGGACATGCTCTCGGATCAGAATGTCTGCGGATCTGCAGACAAGGAGAAAATGAAGCAAGGTTAGCTCAAATCAAATTAAATCCCATATCCAAACGTTTGTTAAGTCTGTTGCCTTTTGCAATTTCCAGCTCTGCTCAAGTCTAGCAAGTTTACCACGCAGGGATTGCAGCGCACATGCGCAGCTGCGATACAAAAGGAGAATTTAAAGTTCTCAGCGAACTGTGTGAGAAAAAGTCCACGTGCTCTTATCGCAAAGAGTGAGTATTAAGACAATAAAGATTACGTTTGTTCCATTCATATTTTCAATCATATTTTATGCAGCTCTCGCTGGCAGTTCGGCGACGTTGCGCAAACCGATATCTCGCCTTGCAGGAACCCTTGGCTCGGGTGCCAAGGAGGCGCCAGTGGTAAGAATAAATCGAGCAGCCTCATTTCGCGTAAAAAAATAATTTATGATGTTTGCATTATTTAAAGCGTTTATTTTGAATTTCGTTCGTTTTATGCAAACCAAACTTTTCATTTTCTACTTTTAGTTTTGTAAAAATCTAATTAATCATTAAATATATATATTGTGTAAGTTTTTATTTTTTTACTTTGAAAAGCATTGTGTAATGCTTCAACTCTAGAAATATAATGTCGATTCCTTGCCAGCACCCAAATGTTGTCTATCGTTCCGGTACATGTCACCCGCATGCCAGGTCCCGATTCGCTGTGACGGCGCCAGTCCTAGCAAGCCAAGCAGCATATAGAGCAGGGCGCCTAGATTGACGCCCAATAGCAGCAGGCCCGGGCCAAGTGAAGCGGCTTGCATGGGACCCGGCCAGCCAGTTTGTTGACCTCCGAAGCCGCCGTAGGCCAATCGACGCCAAGGTTGCCGTTCAACTACATCACTTGTCAGCTGATCCAAGTCCTGATCCTTTTTCTTGCTCTCAGCCAAAAGCGTATAGCGGGGCACAAACGGTTTGTCTACTGCTTTGTGGGCATCACTTGCCGCCGCCACCCAGCACAGGGCAAATATAATAAACAACTGCATGACGGGAACTGTTTGTCTAGCTCATGCCCGTCGCTCTCTTTTATAGCATCACACGGCACGGGCATGGATCACGTCTACAATGGGTACAGCTGAGTGATTCTTTTGAGCTGTCATCAGTACCGTCTATCAAAGTGTGCACTATAAAAAACCCATTGACCCAACTGTAAGGCATGCTTGTCGCTTTATGTTTACATATGATAAGAAAACGTTTGTTCATTTTATTGTCCTTCTGGTTGAATGCGCAACGTGACGGTCTAGTTGAGACGCTGCGCTTTGAGCAGCACTCGTGGCTTCTCGATTTCGGATTTGCTTTGCACGAGCTTCAGCTCCCGTTCCCAGGCCTGCACTGGACCGCTACGTGCTGGCAATAGCTGTACTGTGCGCTTTATCACGGCCTGCAGGGTGGCAATGGTCTTCTCGAAAGCGTCGGTGACATCGCCGCTGTCATGGCTGTGTGCCAGGAAGAGTGAAGCAAAGAGATCGCCGGTGCCAGTGAAGAACAGATCCTTGTTTCCCTGCTTGGGTATATCGATGGCGAGCCGCGGGCCATTCACCTGGCTGAGGAAGGCGCGAAGAACGCCCGGTTGCCCCAAGTCGCTGCTAGAGATGACAACCGTTTTGATTTTGCGTTGGTGAAACCAATCCATTGCCTCCCATACGGCTGCCTCACTGCGAACCTCTTTACCAGTAAGCAGCTCCACTTCATACTGATTGGGCGTTAAAATATCGGCTAGTGGAATGATCTCATCGCGATATACAGGTAGCAGCTCCTTGGGAACGTACATGCTGCCATTGTCACCCATAACGGGATCACATACATAAATCAGTTTGGGATTTGCTTTACGAATTTGCTTGAGAATGACGCCTACTTGACGCAGAAATAACGGATTGCCAATGTAGCCAGTCAGTAGATGGGAATAATGAGACAGTAACTCATTCTCCTCCAGACCCTCGAAAATATTGGCTAAACAACGAGAAAATTATTCAAATTATACAATCTTAATTGATTTAAATTGATTAAGTGTGCATATTAACCCAATTCTTTTTCAGTGGATACTGGGCCCTTGAAGCATTTGTAGCCCGTGTGATTCGAGAACTGCACCGAATTCAGTGGATCCACATCGAAACCGAGAAGCTAATAAAGAGTGAATGTAAATATCGTAAACACATGACTGATATTTAATGTATTCCGTAACCGACCTGCAGGGGATAAGTAGCCACCTTGTTGCCCACATAGCCGTGCACTACGTGGCTTTGAATGGAGAGCACTCGTTTGGCCTCTGGCGTCGTCATATTAATAATGTTGCAGTATTGTTTACGATTCTGCAGCTGAACTCCAATGGCTATGCAACAAGTGCGCTGATGGAACCGGTTGGCCGTGCTGTAAGCTACTAAGCACAACCGTTTAAATTTAAATGTACTAGGTATCAAGCTTCAGTCATCTTATCAGCACTTGGTGGGCGCTCACTCGCTGATAAGTCATAGACCGTAATGGCCGCCGGGGCAATAAACAATGAGATCTCAGCAAACAGTTGTATCAATCTGAATTGTTCTATAGCAATACTATATTTTGTTATGTTATTAAACAATCGAACTGCCTTTTGACCTTGGACGACAATCAAACTCTAAGTTTCCTACATTTCTGCCCGATCCCCTCGTTTGTTATCAACACCCACTTGCTTCGGCAAGTATGTATTTGGTATCGATACCTAAACAGCTGATGTGCATGTTTTTACTGTGAATGGCATTTTTCCATCGCAAGGTTTACGTAAACTTATAATTGTTAAGCTATCTATAAAGACCGATAATTCAGTGCATTTTCTAAATTTTAACCACTCAAGATTTATCATGGCGGCTAATCTAGCACGTTTGCTGGAGTGTAACATACGATGCAACAATGCAGCAGCAGTGCAGAGTGGTTGGCGGCTATTTAGCAATCAGCGGCAGCAGCAGACGGAAGTGGAAGATGATGAAGGTAGCCATCGAAAAAAGTTGTAAATAGTTTATATCAAATGGCTTGTGCTTGCAGAATTTCGTGTGCTCAACCTGCGTACTATTAAACAGCAAGCACGCAGACGGGAAATAAAAAAGAATGCGGTGCAGCCACCACGCACATCGCGCATGCCGGTCGATCAGGATTGGACGGCGGTATGGTCCGGACCGCGTTCATTTCACCCAGCCAGTGTGCCGCTGCCATTGCGACAAGGCTACACAGAGCGCGGAGCAGCTGCGCCCTCGAAGTACGCGAATGCAGAGTTAATGAAAATACCAAATTTCTTACACTTGACGCCGCCAGCTATACGGCAGCAATGCGAGGCAATCAAGAAGTTTTGTACGCCCTGGCCGAAGGGCCTAGAGACGGAGGCCAAGTGGAAGCGTCCCTTTCCTATCGAAGTTATCACCACAGACTATTGCCACAGTCTACCAACAATACGTCATCCGGAGGCTCGTCGCGTGACCATCACGCTAAAACTATCCGATTTGAAGTTCGATGCACATGCGAAAGATAAATTTCTACGCCTTGTCGGCGAACGATACAACCAGGAGACAGGAGTGTTAACATTTTCCGCTGATCGCTGCCCTATGCGCAAGCAAAATTACGACTATGCTATGTATCTACTAACGGCATGTTATCACGAGTCCTTTGTCACGGAGCCATGGGAAGCTACCAAATCGGAGGCGGACATGGAGGTGTATCAATTTGAACGAAATCAAGCGAAACGTTCCGCCGAGGGAATACTCAATTGGAATGCAACGGGCGAACAGAAGGACGCGCCCAGTGCTAACTATGCAAAAAGTGTGGAGGCGTTGATAAATGAGGGTGAGAACGAGTACAACATAGCCAAGTATAAGGAGGAAGTACTGAAAATGTTAAAAATAGCTATCTAGTCAGCATTTCTACAAATATATTTGGTAAAACACTAAAATAAAGTTGTAAACTCTACTAAAATAAAAAAAAAAAATACAAAAAAAAAACAACAAACCATCAGGCACCGTAAATGCCGGTACAACGTGAACGCATGCCGCAGCTGATTTGTGCGACCGCGTGTCGTGGTGAATGGCAAAAGAACAGCGGGCATTTAAGAAGCAGCAGCAATTAGTCCAAATAGAAGAAGACTGGTTTAGTGAACGTGGATTCAAGTATTTTACTTTCATAGATAATTAAAATTTAAAACTACTTTAAACCGAAACAAAAACCGCCTAAAGTCGCCATATGACAGGTAAAATTTACAAGCTGCTCAAGTGACGTATACATTTATCTACAGTGAAAACACAAATATAACAATCGAAAAATAAACCAAATTACATTGAGTGTTGGGTTGACCCGTATATATTTTTCGTTTATCTACGTGATTTTTTGCTGTTTTCGGCTGATATTACCGGAAGTTGGCAGCCATATATTTCTTTGTTTATCATAACTTCTAAAAAACTGCTTAGAATTGTCTTCTTAGGCAATGTCAACAGTCGCAGTCGCCGCTTATCACCAAAATTCTGTTTGTTTTTGCTTGCTTTGTAATTGTCTCACACACACACACACACACACACAAGTGAGTAGTGCGGTTATGTATGTGTGCTTCTCTTGAGTAGTCACAGTGAGGCCTGGCCTCAGTTCTCTTGGAAGCGCGCGCCGAGCAACAACCTTTGCTGGACTGCCTCAACAGATTTAATTTAGTATATAATAATATAGTAAAAATAAATGGTAGGTTATTTAAATATTCTATTATATGTGGGTACCCGTACTTGGCGTCTATAAACCCAGCTTTGGCTGGAAGGTCGCATACACAGCTCACGTTCGCTGGAGCATGGTAAACTCAAAGCACAGCGACTTAAGCTCACTAATACAAGCATATATCATATACATATATATTAAGCCAAAGAAAAAATTCTTGTTGAAGAATGTTGAAATGGTTTGATGTATTGTTGAATGGTGTATCAAGAAATAAAAAACAAATATTTACTTTGCTTTAACTATATTTTAACATAAATGCAGATACTTCACTGTACTTATTGTTCTTTTGGTCTTATCTTTCAGCTGGAAATTGGCTCGCAGCGACAATTTGCAGTGGAAGTGGAAGACGAAACAGAACTTACCAACACCAGCTGAACCAACAACACGCAACGTTGCCCGTTTTGACTCGCTCATGAGTATCTCTGTCGGCAGCAGTTGTAGCAGTGGGTCGCAGTCTGCGTAGCCAGCGAGCTTGACACGTATCCACAATAGAACCAACATAGTCTGCACGCAGAATGCGTCGTCCCAATATAAAATGGATGATCAAGTCGGCATTTTTGGTGCTGGTTTCGCTGATGCTCTTCCTGTTCATCACCAGCTGGATTTCGTCAACGCCATATACAAATAAGCCAGTCCATCATGGCATCGAGCCTGAGCCCTTAAGACCTGAGGCACTGAGGTCTGGCGGCAGGCGAATGGAATATCCCAAAGAAATTCAGATGGATCTGCCGCTGCACAAAGTAAAGAACGATGTTGTGCAGGAAGCGCCACAGGTGGATCAGCCCGAAAAGGAAGACGCAGAAGATGCAGAAGACGCACAAGATCAATCGGAGGCTGATGCGCCGGATGCAGCGATCAATAAGGTGGAACAAGGAAACGAGAATCTTCAGGTTGCAGCACCCGACGACAATCGACTGAAGAAGGACTGGCACGACTACACGGCAATGGAGCGCGATGCAAAGCGCGTGGGCATCGGCGAACATGGTGAGGCCGCCAAGCTGGACGAGAGTCTGCGTGACAAGGAGCAGGTTCTATCGCTTGAGAATGGCTTCAATGCATTGCTCTCCGACTCTATATCAGTGAATCGCTCCCTGCCCGACATACGGCATAAGGAGTGAGTACCAATTAATGACCAGTGTTGGGTCAGTTTCCATTTCGGTTTCTAATGTTCACCTTCATCCCAAACAGGTGCCGTAAGAAACAGTATCTCAGCAAGCTGCCGAACGTGTCTGTGATCATAATATTTTACAATGAGTATCTGTCCGTGCTGATGCGCTCCGTGCACAGCTTGATAAACCGATCGCCGCCAGAGCTGCTTAAGGAGATAATCCTCGTGGATGATTTCAGTGACCGTGCGCCTCTCTTCAAGCCGCTGGAGGACTATGTTGCCGAACATTTTAGCATGGTGCGCATTGTGCGTCTGCCACAGCGCACGGGCTTAATTGGTGCACGCTCTGCGGGTGCACGGAATGCCACTGCCGATGTACTGATATTCTTAGACTCGCACGTTGAGGCCAACTACAATTGGCTGCCACCACTGCTGGACCCGATTGCGCAGAACAAGCGGGCGGCCGTCTGTCCGTTCATTGATGTCATTGATCACAGCAATTTTAATTATCGTGCGCAGGATGAAGGCGCGCGGGGCGCGTTCGATTGGGACTTTTTCTACAAGCGACTGCCGCTTTTGCCAGAGGATCTGAAACATCCGTCGGATCCGTTCAAGAGTCCCGTCATGGCTGGCGGCCTCTTTGCAATTTCCAGGGAGTTCTTTTGGGAGCTAGGCGGCTATGATGAGGGTCTCGACATTTGGGGTGGTGAGCAGTATGAATTAAGCTTCAAGATCTGGATGTGCGGGGGCGAAATGTATGATGCACCTTGCTCTCGTGTCGGTCACATCTATCGCGGTCCACGCCAGGGCGTAAAAAATCCACGATCCGGTGACTATTTGCACAAGGTGAGTAATTGGATAACTATTACAAATATTTGCTTTGACGAATTTATTTTGTAGAACTACAAGCGTGTAGCTGAGGTCTGGATGGATGAGTACAAGAACTACTTGTACAACCACGGAGACGGTATCTACGATAATGTGGATCCTGGTGATCTGACGGCACAGAAAGCCATACGCACCAAGCTGAAGTGTAAATCGTTCAAGTGGTTTATGGAGAATGTAGCCTTTGATTTGATGAAGAGTTATCCGCCCGTTGATCCGCCCGACTATGCCAGCGGCGCCATACAAAATGTCGGCGATAATACACTGTGTATAGATACGCTAGGCCGTGTCCGACACAATCGCGTTGGCATGTACCGTTGTGCAATTGATCTGGTGAAGCCACAGCGAACGCAGTACTGGTCGCTAAGCTGGAAGAGAGATTTGCGACTGCGCCGTAAAAAGGATTGCCTGGACGTGCAAATATGGGATGCGAATGCGCCTGTTTGGCTGTGGGATTGTCACGGGCAGCAAGGTAATCAGTATTGGTTCTATGACTATCATACGAAGATGATAAAGCACGGCAAGGAAGGCAAACGCTGCATGGAGCTGCTGCCCTTCTCCGAAGAGCTGGTGGTCAATAACTGCAACGAATCAAACGAATATATGCGCTGGAACTTTGGATTCGTCAACAAAACGGCGCTGGACAACTACACTGTAGATTTAGAGCTTATATTTTAATAGTCTTAAGAATCGCTCGTCCCTTGCCATGTACTTAAAACGCAATTGTCAAGTCTAATTTTGTATTTTATGTAGCTATATGTACATATGTATTTGTGTAGACCTATCTAGTTAGTAAGCATACTTGGCGCACGTCGCGTTTCGCACATTCCGGTTGTCAGTTATATTTTGACTACAAATTAAATATGAGAACGTGTTAATTTCTATTTATCGGCTGCTACCCCATTTTGACCAGGCGATTGAAATTATGCGTCCCTATTTTCATTTCTCATTGTAAATGTGGTTCAAATTTTAACAAAGGGCAATGGAAATTTATATTTTGTTAAATTGAATTAAACCTGAAATTCAAATTTGTCATTCCAAAAGTGCATTCCGTGCATGTACCTAACTTTGTGTGGAGCTATCTGGTCTATAAGCAAGATTGATCCAAGTTCCGTCTAACTGCCAATTATTACCTAAATTAAATTCAACTACAAATAAAACAAGGTGTTTAACTTTGTTTGTTGTTTTATTTAATATTAATATCTGTTTGCTTTCAATACGCGTACTTTAAATAAATATAATTTTTGTTTTATTTCATATTCTTTATATGAGATTGTTTTTTATATTTTCAGTTTTTTTTGTTTATCGTTTTACAATATGTATCATTATCATCATTAGCTCCAACCTTATCGTCTCATGATTTTTTTGTCGATCTTTTACGTGCAGTGTTTTTTTAGTGTTTCAATCATTCTGTCGACATTTTGTTAAAATTAATATATGCCAATATTTATAGTTCTATAATTCTCCAATATATATATATATATAGTGTATATATATCCATATATCTATATCTATATGTATATATATATATTTATATATATATGTGTGTATTTTTATCTTCATGTTCTGCCTGCGCCCCGCAAATAACTGAAAACACATTGCAAACTCGTTTATAAATTAATAATGGCAAAAAGTTGGTTTTTGTTTTATTTTGAAAATTATATAAAAAGCATTTACAAACTATAATAGTTGTTGGCTTGCGTAATCAGTTAATCAATTATCAATTATCATAATTTATATTTATATATATAAACATTTAAATATTTATCAAAACATGTTTTTTCTTGTTGCTCAAAAGTCTTCTTCGCTGCCTTACATTTACATACATACGTTTTACATTTATGATTCTCCTGCACATTTCTTGCTCACGTTCGTCGTCATAATTTCAAATTATTAGCATAAGTATACATATATTTAATAACCGTTTTGTGCAAAATAATCTGTTTTTCTTTTGTTTTTGTTTTTGTTTAGACTAATTTGATTTGAAATTCAGTTTGCGCTGCCATTTTGTTGTTGTTGCTTTTTTTTCTTTTGGATGGATGTAAATTAATTGAGTTAGCTTTTTACAACAATTCATGCGTGAAATGAATAAGCAAAATATGTTGTCTTTTAGTTAATTTATAGTTGTTGTTTTTGTGTACTTAATACTTGCTTGGTTTCGAGTCTTTTTTTTTTTTGGATTTTTATGTTTTTCTTTTTGAATTTGCTTCAACATTTACAGCACATATTATATATAAAAGAAAGTTCTACCTTTTTGGGCGCGCATAAATAAATAAAACTTCAATTGTTGCTCTTTATTTCATATATGTATGTCTGGGTAATTTGTGTGTGTGTGTGTGTGTTTTTGTTTTGCTTAAACTTAATTTATTAATAATGTTTAAAAAATGTCTTGATGCCTTACGCGCTGCTCCGCTCTCTCTCTCTTTGCTTTACTAACATTTCATTCACTTTCCCCTCACATGTTTTAATGCTTTATGCTTAATTATGTGCTTTTTACGTATGCTTAGCTTAAAATGCTGCCCATCCCAGCAACCTTCTTGTTGTGCTCATATCGCCAGACGCACACATACTAAATACAAAAGTGTTAGTATGTAAATTCAATATTTTTTTTTGTAATTTCTTCATTTTGCTTTGTTAATGTAGTTTGCCTTTCGTAACGCTCTCTCTGTGTTGTCGCGCGTGTGTGTGTCTGTGTGTGTGTCTATTTGTGAATGTACTTGCAGTTAACGGTAAATCAAATGTGACAAATGCAGCTCTCTTGCGTGTAGAGCGACGATCGAAAGAGAGTCGCTTGCAATGCACCAAAAGAGCATCATTTGCTGGCCATCAATTTGAATTCGCTTGGCGCTTAAGAGTATGCAACAGCACCAAGAGACAGTCAAATTGTTTGGTTTTGTTGAATTAAAGTGGAAAAGCTAGTTGAAAAATATTTGTTGATTTTGTTGTGCTATTTTAGTGTCTAGCAGTAAAAACATGTTACCGACTATTTAATTAAGTTTTGTATTTTGTTTAGTTGTTTGCGAAATTGTTTACGTTGTTTCTAGTTTGCTTTAAAAATTGGTTTATTTGTACTTTTGGCAATGATCTTTTACGAGTGTCCGTCCACTAACAGTTTTTTATTTTCTTTGTGTTTTGTTTTTTCTTTTTGCTTGATCGTTTGTTTAAAATATTAATTTGTTTATATTGCTCGCGATAGAAACTCAAGCAAAAATTACTTTAGCATTTTATTTATTAGGTAATTTGTTTTGTTTTATTTTTTAGTGATTCAGTTTTTGTTTTCTAGTGTTTGTTCTGTAGTTTGCTGTTTGTAGTGTGCTTTGATTCTTAACAGAAAGAGAGAACATCAAATTAAAAGTAACTCATTTAACAGAATTTGCCAACAATATAGCTGCTCTTAAGAAACTAAAGTTTGCTTTTTTTTGTATTTCTATATGTATATGTATCTAGCTGCATTTGTGTTCTTCCAGTGTATAAACTAGGCATAAGTGTGTGTGTGTGTGTTTGTGTTTGTATGTGTTTGTGTGTAGTGGAGTTTTGGTAGTGTTTTACTGCATGCTGGAATGGTGCCTGGCTGGGACACCCTGCCACCTGCTGCCCGCCTCCTACCCTCGTATGGCACACGAAATCAGGACGCGTTTACAAAAATAAATTGCTGTGAGAATATTTCAGTCGATTGTGGCATAAGCTTAGAGCTAAACGGTGATAGATCCAAGCGACTGCGACTGCAACTACTGTTACTGTAACTGTTAGTGCTACTGTTACTGTTACTGTTACTGTTACTGTTACTGTTACTGCTACTGCCAGTAGTAGTAGCTGCCCCCCATCTGGCGCTGGTAGGCGCTCAGGTTTGCTGCGCTGGCTGCGGCGGCTGCTGCGACGGCTGCTGCGGCGGCGGCACGCCCACCGCTGCCGACTGCTGGGCTGTTGGGCCATTGGCGTTGCCAGTGTTGCCATTCGCGTTGGTGTTGCCATTCGCGTTGGCGTTGGCGCTGCCATTCGTGGACGAGGTTGGACTGCTATTGCCCTCCTGATAGGGCCCCGTAACCACACATGGGTGCATAGGAAACAGGGTCGTCCACGACGTTGTTGTTAGTGTTGGTGCGTGGAGGGCAACTTTCTCGTTTTTTGGCTGCTCGCTGCTGTTGTTGTTGTTGTTGTTGTTATTGTTACTATTGTTGTTGTTGTTGTTCGATTGCGACTTCTTGCTGGCATCGGTCTTCTTTTTCTTACTGCCACTGGCGCCATTCTTGACGGCCCCGCCACTGCCATTGGATTCCTTCTTAATGCTGGGCAGCGGTGGCGGCACTGTTGCCGCCATTTGTTCATCGTGCATATCCTCGTCCTCGTCATCCTCGCCCGCGGCCTTTTTCAGCAAGCGCTCGCGCTCCTCTTTGGCTTTGTTGTCGAGGTCCGTGTTGATCTTTTTCACGCGCATCTTCTCCTCCCACTCGTCGATGCCGTGCCTGGCCCGATTCAAATTGCGATGCTGGTAAAAGATCAGGGTCATGCGCGTTGGCTCATGGCGATCCGGTCGCCGCACAGCTGTTGTTGCATGCATCTCGTGCTTGGCGCACTCGATCAATACGCTGCCATGGTTCAGCGCAATGGCAACACCGCCCATTTGCGGATCCTGGAACGCTTCAATGTTCTCATTAATCTCGGCCACCTCGCCGATGGGCTCGATTTTGCTCGAATTGGTGCTGGCCGGCGCGACTGTTGTCGTTGTGTTGCCGTTGCCGGCTCCCGATGTGTTGCCGTTGGCATCATTGCTGATGCTGCTGTTGCTGTTGTTGCTGTTATTGCCAATGGGCGGCACTTCAGCCGTAGGCGCTGCTGTAGGCGTGGTAATGGGTTCCACGCTATTAACAGACAGTTGGCCGTTGCTCAAATCGGGCAAAACAGTTTGGGGCGGTGTCGCCGGTAACTGTTGTTGCTGCTGCTGCTGTTGTTGAGGCTGTTGCAGTTGCTGTTGTTGTTGTTGCTGCTGCTGCTGCTGCTGGAGTGGAGCCACTGCTGTTGGCAACGTGGGCTTAACCAGAGTTGCTCCCGATGGCACAGGACCATGCGTGGCTAACAGTGCACCACCGGCTCCTCCGCCCGAGGGACCATAGCCGCCAGAGCCCTGATGATGCCCGTAAACATTCCAGTTGGGCGACGGCGGCGTCGGTGGCGGCGTTTGCTGCGGATACATGCCGTACGGTGAGTACGCCTGATGATGATACCCATAATTATAGTTCATGTTCTGGTAGGCATCGTACGCGGAATATGCCGAGTGCGGCGGCGGCGGAGGCGGCGGGTACATCTGATAGTTGTTCGGGTACTGCGAGTACTGGTAATCGCTCGGCGGCGGCTTCGGCTTGACGAAGCCCTCTGGCGTATGCGGATGATGGTGGTGGTGGTGGTGAAGTGGTGGTGCTAGATTAGTCATGGGTTGCATGGCTGTCAAGGCGGTTAACTTACTCTCGACCAGTGAGTGATTGACCAGCGTTGTCGAGTCGGGATTTTCCTCGCTGACGCGACTCTTAAGCTCACCACCAACAACTGTGGATATATCGACACCACCCTGCTGCTGCTGCTGCTGATGTTGTTGCTGCTGTTGTTGCTGCTGCTGCTGCTGTTGCTGCTGTTGCTGCTGCTGCTGTTGCTGCTGTTGCTGCTGCTGTTGTTGCAGCTGTTGCTGTTGTTGCTGCTGCTGTTGTTGCTGCTGCTGTTGCTGCTGCTGCTGCTGCTGTGCGCCCAGTGCTGGCGACGTCAGATTGTTGTAGCTGGGCGTGTAGCCATTGCTGGCATCGTGCTGCGCAGGCGTAGGAGTCACTGTAGCTGGCGTGGCAGGCGGCAGAGCTGTGGCTGTTGCTGCTGGCGCAACTGTTGCTGCTGTAGTCGCTGTCGCAGCAGCAGCCGCTGTTGGCGGGGTCACCGTGTGCGTATGCTGCACTAGCGGCGCTGTGGGCGTCGTGGGCGTCAGTGCAGCACTGCCGGGAGCCATGCCCATGGCATGAGGCGGCCAGTTGCCGTAGTAGTTGCGCGAGTCAATGTAGGAGCCCGTCTGGTAGTCATAGGAGTAGGGCGAGTCCAGCACGGTGCTCGAGATCTGGTTGGACTGCAGCTGGGCGTCCGTAAAGGTGTCAATCATGGTGGCCATGTTCATGAGGCTCGAGTTTGAGCTCATCAGCTGATTGGGCTGTGCGCCAGGTGGAGCGGGCACGGCGCCAGCTGCGGAGTTATTGTTGGCATTCGGATTGGCGCCGTGCTGATTGACCGGGGGTGTGCTGAACGCGCTGCCCGCCGGACTGGGATTGTTCGTCACTGGCGTCTGGCAGCGCGGCGAGGGAGTCGTCGGCGGCGCCGAGCCGGGCGTGGATGCGCTGGAGTTATTCGACTTGGCCTTCGACTTTGATTTGCTGCTGCTGCCGCCGCTGTTGCTAGCGCCGTTCTCCTTCTTGATGTGCGCTGCGGCCAGAGCGGGCGGACTGCTCTGCTGGGATTGGGCCAGCTGGGACTGGGACTGGTTGCCGTTGCTGGAGCTCTGACTGCTGCCATCGGCGGCGGCGTCCTGTTCGCCATCCGGCGTCGCCGGCTCGTCCTCTTTGCGCTTCTTGCCGTGCCGGCGACAGGGTATCAGCGGCGTGGAGCGTACTCGTACTTCGCAGGGAAATCTGTGTGGGAAGAGACATGTGAAGATTAATGGTTGTCCCGACCGGTACGAGCTGCAACGGGTAGCTCAAAACTCAACACTACACTCACTTGTCCAGCATTTGCACAGCTCCGGTGCGATGCTTATCACGCTGCCCCTCGACGCTCTCGAACTCGTCCGTGCCGTCCATCGTGTAGAGCGGCAGGACGTGGAACTGCTCGTCGTCGGGCAGGCGGCTATCGCGATTGGTGGGCTTCAGCAGTGCCACGTGCACCGTGCAGCCATCCTGCATGTTGTGCAGATCGCGATGTGAGTGGGCACAAAAGTCTAGGCAGGCGGTCACGCCCGAGAAGGGCTTGCCCGGCTCGAGGCCGAGCCGGCAGTCGGATGCCTCGTGCTCGTACTTGGTCTGATTGTCATAGGAGCGCGGGCACACCTGCTTAAAGACCGGCGCCAGCAGCGTGGCAATCAGATTCATGTGATCCTCAATCGCTGCCTCCTCGCTCTTCACCGACAGCCGAAACTTGCGCACGGTCTTGGAGCGCGCGTATTTGCAGCCATTGTAGTACATGGACCAGCTGCAGCCAAAGCTATACGAGGCGCCTGACGACTCCGGATCCAGTCCTGCAAGAAAAAACACAAGTACATTAAGGACTTGCCTCACATGAAGCAAGAGTGGGAGGGAGCACTAACCTTGGCAGGCACAGGTGCGATTCTCGTTGGTGGCGCAACGGCGCGTGGTGGGTAGTCCGTACTTATTGAGCTTGGGTATCAAATTCTTGTAGGCATTGTCTGCCTCCAGGCGCGGCATGCCATCCCAGGCCACCATGCACACCACGATGTATGCGGCAATGCATCTGTATAGGTAAGCGAGAATATACACTCAGTTTTCTAGGAGGCTGTTTTGCTTCCTGGCTTACCTGTGACCCGGACGTTTCTTTACAACAACAAGTATTTTCTCCTCGGGATCGGCACGCCTGATCACCCACTTGGCCACCGGGCAACCCTGCGATGTTTTGCCTTCCTTGCCCGTGTAGACGATCTTCTCGATGCGCAACTGACGGCCCGTCAGCTGGCAACGATCCTCGAACTCGCGTCGCAGCTCCATCAGCGTGGATGCGGTGCCTAAAGGGACAACACTTGGGTCAGATGTGGCATTTTTAGGGGTAGGTTCAAGGCGTGTGGATATGACTAAGTCTATCTTCTATATTCTTTACTTGTTAATAGGAATTCCGCCTTAACTGATGTCAAGCCCTACCTGAGTTCTCTACAGCTTCAGCCCCTAGAGCATCGCAGCTCTATAACAATGTATATCAGAGAGGAACAGAATTTCTAGGCACGGATTCTTTGTGATCCTGGTAAGGCATTAATTTGTAAGAGAAATCCAGCCATAGTTTAACTGGAATCTGACTTCTTTACAGGTTTACTTCCTAAGAGCGACGCAGCACCATCAGCATGCATATGATGTGAGAGCTAGGCGAGGTTCGGTATTTCTAGGCGTGGATTCAAACCTTGCAGGCCAAGTAAGGCATCAATTTGTTTCCCTTCCCTTAATCTTCAAGCCAAAGCCTTTTAGTCTAATTCCAACTACCAATCGCCTTTCTTACAGTCTCACCCCCGGAGAAGCTCTGATGCGCTGTGAAACTTACCCAGATGCGTATAGTAGGTGCCCGGTTCCGGTGGATTCTTGTCAGACTGAAAGCACTCGCACTCGGGTATTTCCGTCTTGTTGCCCTTTTCGAGGCGATCCGTCGTATCGAACATGGGATTGATTTTCTCGTGTTTGACAATTATTTCGGGTATCTCATCCTGTTTCTGCTTTTTGGACTTGGCCTTCACACCATTGTGCGCCTCGGCCAGCTCGTCCTCGTCCAGTAGCTCCTCTTTGGGCTGGATGCCCAGGCCCAGGCAGGTGCCGTCCTTGAGATGCTCCGCGGTGGGTGGCCTGGTGCCGCCCTGGCGACAGCACGAGAAGCCGCTGTTTAGCGGCTTACCCTCACCTAGATAGGCATAGCCATGTCCGTGGCCATGTCCCAGCATGCCCATGTCCTCCAGCTTGGGCTCCAGCATGCCGTGGTGGCCGAGATGCGGCGGCGGCGGTGCTCCGTGTCCGAGCGCATAGCGATGCGCCGGAATGGGATACGCGTGCGCCGGTATATCCTTCTCATAGTTTGTAGGCAGTGGTATGATGCTGTTGGTGTCCGGCTTGCGGTCCAGCTCCAGCATGCTGTTGCCGTGCCCATGGCCATGTGGCCCGTGGTGGGCGGCATTCGAAGGCGGCTTGCCGCGGCTGCCATAGGCCGCAGCGGCCTGATAGCCGGGCACGAAGCTCTGCTGGAAGTTTTGCTGGAAGCTGCCGGCGCCGGCGCCATAATACGCCGAGTTGTGATGGTAGCCGGCATAGTCCTGCTGGTGCTGCTGCACCGGCTGACCCTGGCCATCGTTTTGGCAGAAGTCGGCATATTGAATGAAGTTCTGGTAGTTGCGCTCGTAGCCCTCCATTTTGTTTGGTTGTCCGCCCGGCGGTGGCGGCAATAGACCCGGCTCCGTCTTGATATATTGCCCGTGATAGTCCTGACCGCTGCCCGGCGGTGGCGGATAGTGTGCGCCTAAGGCCTTGAGTCCTCCGCCGCCCGGATCGTTAGCATTGCGATCCCGTTCAATTTCGGCGGCGGCAGCCTCCGCGGCGGCTGCAGCGGCACGGCTCGCCTTGCTGCGACTCCGTGATTTCTTGGGCTGTGGCTGTGCCGGCGGCTGAATCGGCATGGCAGGCTGTGGCGGCACCTCCGCGTGGCTTATGGTTGTGTGTTGTCCTGGCTGGTGTTGCTGCAGCTGCAGCTGCAGCTGATGGTCCGTGCCGGCATAGCCGCTGCCCACGCTGGGCTTCTTAAACGAGTTGGCGTGGTGCGGCTTCCAGATTTGATCGCCACCACCTCCGATTGGCTCGGCAACGGCCAGCGGTGGTGCGACGCTGCTCGAGCCGTTGGCGCTCAGCGCCGTCTCGGGGCGGAGATGGTGGCTATACGATAAAAAATGACCGGTCTGCTGTTGCTGCTGCTGCTGCTGCTGCTGTTGGGCAGCACCTGGGGCTGTTGTCTGGCCCTGCAGCTGTATGTCGGGCGGCGAGTCCTTGGAATCGCTCTTGCGCATAATCATGGACTTGATGCGCGTGTTCAGATGCAAGCGTTCGCCCTGACCCTGCGCCGGGTAGCCATCGCTCGTCAGCTGCTGCTGCTGTTGCTGCTGTGCAGGCGGCGGTGGCTGTTGCTGCTGCTGATTACTCCAGTTCCAGTCCTGCATGGGCGGCGAGCCGAGATGTGAGTGCGTCTGCTGCTGTGGCTGCACGCTGCTGCCATAGGGCTGCAGTCCGTTGCCATTCGGGGATGGCGGCACCTGGCTGGGCGACTGTGAGACGAGGCGTGGCTGCTGCTGTTGCTGTTGTTGTTGTTGCTGCTGCTGCTGCTGGATGAGGCTACGCGTGGGCGACGGTGGCACCGTTTGGGCCTGAGGCTGCATAGGTGAGCCAGCTGGCTGGGCCACAACCGTGTTACCAGGGCCAGTCGCTGTGGGCGCGGTTGCGACGCTGGGCGCTGCAGTTGTCGTTTGTTGTTGTTGCTGTTGTGGTTGCTGTTGCTGTTGTGTCTGTTGTTGCTGTTGCTGAGAACCGCTGTAGTCGCCTGGATACCCGTTACAGTTGAGTGAGCGCGGCGGCACGCTGCTCACCCGCGGATATCCAGGCGTGTCGTTTCCCGACATGCTTTTGCTCAGATCCCCGCCAAGATGCTGTTGCTGCTGCTGCTGTTGCTGCTGCAGGCCAACGGCTGGTGGCGCCGGCGCCGTCGACACTTGTCCAGCATAGCTAACACCGCCAGGCGGAAAGCCGGCGGCAACACTCTGCAGTCCCACCTGATTAATCGGCGCACTGGAGAGCTGCTGGCTCTGAAAGTCGTAGCGCTGCACGGGCGCACCATATGGCGAACGGCCGTAGTTGGGATCGAAGCCGAGACCCGTCTGCACGTAGCCATTTGATGGATAGGCGTAGGACTGTGTCTGGAAATCCAAGGAGTTGAGTGATGTGATGGCTGGAGTATTCTGTGGTATTTGCTGTATGAACTGGTTCTGCCAGCCCTGCGACGGATCCGCCTGCCATGTCGGATAGAAGGCCATAGGTGCCTGCAGAACGAAAAAATCAAACACATTAAAATATATGTATATAATAGAATCAATATTTATGTATTTAGTTTGCATTTATGAACTAAGTTATTGCTAAACGGGGCCCAGTCGGCTGCCATCAATTAGTTACGCATTTAGTTAAAAACTATTTACTAAACTTAAGGCTTTTATTATATTAGAGCTCAGAGTAACTATATAGTTAACAGCCCAGGGTCTAGCCTACCCTTTGCTTTGGCCAACTTTGGGGTTGCTTTATGAAATGGTTTTCGGCTTTCCTGTTGCTGCCGGGCATAAATCAAATTAGCCGCACCCTAATTCGGCGACATACTAATTGGGCCAGGCCCCAAAAACAAATAAGCTCAACAAAATATGAAAAATAACAGCATGCCAGTATTTATAGTCGACATTATACACAACTTCCGCTTGTTGTTGATTAACGCGCCTTGAACTATGCTACACTTTTTTGACGGGCGTGTTTATTTGTATTTTATTTCGTTTTGCGTCTGGCAAACAAAATGCGTAACAGACCAAAATAAAAATCATTTGCGTTTTTATGAGCGATGAAAGTGAAATTCTCTATATGCAAGCATGAGGCAACAGCAACAACAAGAACGAACAACAATGGCAACTGCCTGCGCCAGACGCACAATAAAATCAAATAATATAAATTTGAATATAAATAATTTGAATAGTTGTGTGTAATTTTTATAGGCGAGTTTAATTGACTACTCCGTTCTGTTTGGGCTTCGGCTTCGACTGTGTTTGTTTTTTTATGTGCTGCTCGTGTTGTTTGTGTAGTAAAAATAGACTTTTATTTTGTACATATTTGTGTGTGGAAATGTGCACCTGGTGATGACAGCAGCTGTTGCTGTTATTTGTTGTTGTTGTTGCTGTTGCTGCTGCTGCTGCTATGTGGTCTGCGTTTTATTTTTGAAAGCATTTAGCAATCATTGATAAAAATCGAAAAATTGTTTATGAATGAACGCGTGTATATACATACGTGTACGTATGTGTGTGTTGGCCAGTTGTGTGTGGCTCTGCACAGCGTTCACTTGATTCGATTTGTGTGCACAGCTGCAGCTGATTGGGGCGTGTCACGTATACGCAACGTTGTCCGCACACAGTTTTAATTTATGTTATTTATTGTTTGCTGTTGCTCTGCGGCATATTATTATTATTTTTTGCGTTCAGCGAATGGAAAACGAAATGAACTGATTGACTAGCCAAACTGTTTGTGAAGGTCAATGCTCGCCGTTGTTATTGTTCATGTTTTAATTGAAAAACATCAGAATTGTATAGAATTGATTATTGTTTGTGTACTCACCATAGGTTGTTGCGGTTGATCCTTCATGGTTTGAATTTGTGCGGTTATTTGATGCTGCTGCTGATGCAAATGTTGCTGTTGTTGCTGCTGCTGTGCGTGCTGCTGCTGCTGCTGCTGCTGATGATGATGTTGCGTTTGCTGCTGCAAATGTTGCTGCTGCTGGAAATGCTGCTGCGGCTGTTGCTGCTGCTGCTGATAGTGCTGCTGCTGTTGTTGCTGCTGCTGTTGCTGCTGCTGCTGGTGTGTCAACAATTGCTGCTGCAACTGCTGTTGCTGATACTGCTGTTGCTGCAAACTGCCCGCTGCGGCAACTGTTGCTGTTGTAGTATTTGGCGATTGCTGCGGCAACAAAGTTGCTGCTGGCGTTGGACTTAGACGTGGCGATGTTGCTGATGCGGCTGCAATGGCACCAGCGGCTGCATTCAGTTTGTTTGCTTTGGTGGAGGTTTTACGGGCGCGTGACTATAAAAGACAAGAGCAAAAAAACAACAACAAAATTGTTAGCTAATGACATTGATAAAAGTAAGTGTAACGCTTAGATAAATGCATATGAATATGCATGCATAAATTATGGGGCAATTCAGAGCGTTTGCTGTTGCTGTTGTTGGCCGCGCTTTAAAAATGATATGCAATTAATTTATGGGCTGGTGGGTGTCTCGGGCTTGACCTTCGTGAGAACAGCTGCTTTATGGTATTTGCCTTTCGGTAATGCACTTTTTACAACCTAATTGCACAATGGCCCCGGAGCTGTTCTACTTGCTGTTGCGCCCCGCAATTAGTTGAATAGTTTTATTTCTTTAATTAAGGAAATTTGTTGTTAGACGCGCAAATATTTTAATTGCCACACATTCAGCATTCAGTATACAGCCCCGCGCCCGAACGTTTTGTGGCAGCGCTTGTATAATTTATGCTTGCAGCGGACACATAATTTCGACTTGTTTTTGCGTCTGCACGCCGGCAACATGTAAAATTTATGTGGCCAGCGATTTATGTGCAATTTATTTGTGCAGCCAAATACATAAAAAAAGAGCAAAAATTCAGCAAAAACAACAACAACAACAACAACAACAACAACAACGACGACGACGGCGGCAACAGCTGCGGTTGCCATTTATTGTTGTTGCTGCTGCTGCTGGTTGCAGTTGCAAGTTGCAAGTTGAACTAAAATATGTTGCGCGCACCATTAAAGGCTTTGAAAATTTATGTTTATAAAAGACTTTTGTTGTTTGTCCACCGAAAGAGCTGGCCCGAAGTTGGTTGTATTTTATTCTCTATATTGCTTATATTTTTGCAAGTTTTTATGTAGATTTCTAACTTTAACAAATAATTATATCATTTTAGCCATAAATATAATTTCGTATTGTTAAAAACCCTAATAATATAAATATTTATAGCTGCACATTATCAATGTATTACGCTTAAATTTATACTGATTAGCAATAATTGTTTGTCTGTTTGCCATTTCATTGATAAGTCGACTAAAGCTGTTTAAATTATCAGAGCCCGTTTTCTATATATACGTATTATATATAGAACATTTGATATGATTATAATTATAGTGATTTCTCAATCGCTTAATGTTTTAATAAAGGCCTTTTAATTAGCCAGCCCTAATTACTGCTCCAATTAGAAGCTCTGGTTAACTCTTGACTTTGTCGCCGGCCTTTAAGCTATTCGCAATGCAAACATTGTACACAACTTTGGAACTGGCCAATTAGAGAGGCTTATTTCTAGAATTTTTCCAGACAATAAATACATTTTGCACACACATGAAATTTGCATAAAACGACAAACCAAATCGTTTGTGCAAATTGCTGGCAAAAATATGATTTATATTTTACACATGTGTAAAATATTTTCCAGCTGTATGTGTGTGTGTGTGTGTATGTGTGTGCGCTTGGACTTGGCCAGCATAATGCAATGCAAATACGACAACGCCAACAACATGGAGCAGCAGTCCAATTGGAATTCAAATGCCTCTCCGTCTCTGCTGGCCTCAGCTGGTGACAAAGCAACAAAATAACTTAAGCAAACAGAGTTTGGAGCCATTTATGTGTATTTGCAAAAGTTTCACGGGAAGGGGGGGGGGGGGGGGGGTGGGGGGATGGTGGTGACGTGTAGGAGGTGGCAGGTTTGTGGGACAGCCTTTGTGAATGCTTTCTAAAAATATTTGCAATGCAAACAATGTGCTTGTCGCAGGTGCCAAAAAAAAAAAAGAAGAAATATAATAAAATTAAAATAAATTTGCACGCAATTTGAAAATCGAAAAATTGGCAATTATTTGTATGCAGATTTTCCTATGATAATATACGTAAAATAAATACACGTAGATGTAGACGATTGGCTGTGCATATAAGGCATTAATTAAGTTTCTTGCATGTTGCACAGTGTTTGCTTAGGCCATGGCAAACAGCAAAGGCAACAAAAACAACAACAACAACAACAACAACAACAGCAATTGCAATGACAACAAGAGGCAATAGTTAAAAAAAACGGCATTGTAAAGTTATAAAACACAATATGGAAAACCTAAATTTTACTGAGGGAAACAATAAATACTCTAACAAGATAGTTATACAAAAATCTGAAAATCTGTTTGTATAATATTTGTATAATATAATATGAAGGTCCAAGATATAAAAAACATCAAGTGATAAAATGTGTAACTCTTGATATATCAAATATTCAATACCCTAGTATATATATATTATACTTTGTATAATCTGATAATTGGAGTATGTGGATATTTAATCCTATTTACCCCCGGTATGATATTATGCTGCGGAAAACTTCCGAAGAACCTTTAAGAACAACTTGGAATACATTTCGTTAGGGCATGCGAGTTGGCGGCATTTCTAGCTGCATTTTCCCACTATTTACACAGTTCATAAAAGTTAATTAAATGTTTATGAGCGTCGCTCGTTTGCAATGCGGCGACTTTGCTGCCTTTTATATCTGTTCTGTCGATTGTTGTTGTTGTTGTTTTTCCTTTACTTTTTGTTCTTACTATGTCAATGGAGTTTTTATTTATTTCTTGGTAATGTAAACAAATGTAAGGCAAAGCGGCGAATAGATAGAACCAGATAGAGATTAGTCTACACCTTATCTCTGAGTGCAACAACTGCAGCAGCAGCAACAACAAAAGCTGCAACATGCAACGAACTAAACGCGGTGGCCTTCGTCTTAAACAGAGACAGAGACAAAAACAAAACCCAGCTCCTTCTGCTCGTCATAAGATTTTACTGAAAATGCGTTGAAAAGAAAATTGCGCGCTGAGTAAACAGCAATTAGTTGTGTATATGTGTGTGTGTGTGTATGCGAGTGTGTTTATGTGTTTGTAAATAAGTTTATTACTATTTACATTGAATTGCGCGCCGTGCTGATAAGCAAGAAGGAGAGAAATAACAAAATAAAAGGTAAATTAAAGTATTTTTAGTTCGGCTCGAACGACGCAGCCGATGCGCTACAATGCATACGACTGAGCAGGCTAATGGCTTATAGATATGCATACTGCACTCGTGTCTGTGAGTGTGTGTGTGCGCGCTGGTGTCTGTGTGTGTAAGTGTTGTGCGTGCAAGTCGGATATGTGAAACAGCTATATAGCTGCAAGGAGGCGTCTGTTGGATTGTGAGGCTCATATATAAAGCTCAAACGAGGCTAAGGACTGTATAATCAAAATCTGCAGGGGAAAAAAGGATCAAACTTTTACGATTCGATCTGTGTAGTTTAATGAAAAGCTGAAGACCCAGTTGGAGGCATGGCCCATTCTCGCATCTGCCAAGAAATTGGTATGACCAAGGTCCAAATCATAGTTGGATTCCTGATTCCGATTCGAACTAGCGAGAATATGTTTTAGGTTGATTTTTCCCCAAGGCCTACTTTTTGCAATACATATTTGAATAGTTGATTCAACTGGAAAATTCTTGGGCATTTGCCTAGTAACTAGACCTAACATTGGCCACTCTTTCGCGCTGCCCTGTTCTGGCTGTCTGTCTTTCTCTGGCATTGATAAGCGCGAGGACGGAGCGCAATAATAACACCTCGAGCTGATGTGTGTGTGCGTGTGTGTGTGTGTGTGTGTGTGTGTTGTGTACCCTGTCATAAATTACACACATAGCAGGGTATGCCATATAAATTATTTACATGTCCCCGACGTCAAAGTCTGCTGATAAGTCGAGGGGAAAAGGCGAACGCAACAACAACAACAAAATGAATAAATAAATACGAAAAAAAAAAACAAGGTGAAAAGCAGCGAAAAATAAATGCAGCAAAATGTAAATAAAATATAAATAAATCAAATATTAGTTATCATGTTTTCTTTGCCGTTGTGTGTGTTTATTTTTACTCTTTATCAACATTTGTCAGTACAGTAAACATTATAGCCAAGAAATATCGAGAAATAATGCTTAAGAAATGTAGTACAAGGGTTAGATGCGGCCCTCACTAATGAAACTCATTCCATAACTCTATATTTTGGACTTTTATTGGAATAGGTTAGCCTTCTCTCATATTGATAAGGAAATATCGTTCAACTCTTCGAAATCTGTTCGATATGATAGAAAAACAACTTAGATAGAAGATTCTTTAAACTATCCCAAATCTTATAGTTTAGTTTGAAATGCCTTCTATAAAGGTTTGTTCCAGGATGACGGATACTAGCCCCAGGATCGACACCAAGTGTAAGCTGCTTTGTTGTAAGGAGTTGCGATTAAAATAGCAGCAAATTTATATGCTTAAGTTGGCACATCCCAGTAAATGCTGTTGCAGCAAAATGTTGCATTTAGCAGACACAGAAATGTACACGTTCCGATTTGCTTTAATGGTGTATGCAATTTCCATGATTGTGGCAGGACCTCCTTCTTTGCCAATGCTTGACTGCAGGCTCCGTCGCTCGACCGGAGGCAGCTCAAATATTTAACTTGTATTTCGTATTCATGCTAATTTTGCATTTTCCACAATTTTCTCACCCACAATGCGAGGCAAAAGCAGCCAGCGTCGCCGCCTTGGCCACGTTTGCATAAAATGCTATGCACGTTATTATTTTGCAGGCACTGTGTGAGGCATTCACAGCTCCTGTTCGCTTCAATTTCTTGTGGATGGACACAGTGCGGCTGGCTGGCTGGCTGGTTGGCTATCAGCGCACACACACACACACACACACACACACAGATACATAAATTACCACTGTGTGTGTGTATGGGAGGAGGGTGGGGATCTGGGGTGTATGCATGTAATTGTACGTGCAGAGTGTGCGCCGTTGTTCGGGCTACAGTTTCCTTTTTATCCTTTGCTCTGCTTTACTCAGCTTGTTAGCATGTGTTGACGTTTATGTGAGCCTGCCTGTGTATGTGTGTGTGTGTGTGTATTTTTATTCAATTTAGCTTTCAATTAGGCTGCAATTGTTCGTTTGTTCACTGCGCTGCCTTGCATTCTTAAACAGTTCTGGCCCAAACAGCCAGCTC